TGTTAATAGGTGTTAAGAAGCTCCAGGGGGGTCTCTGTTCGTGCGGTTGCTCGGTAAGCGAAACATATAGTCCCAATTGCACGAACAGAGACTGTTTTGAAGTATTTTAGCCAGGCCTATTGTAGGGGCCATAGTCACAGGGTAGGAGGCTGGCAAACAGGCCCCTCCAAGAGCCAGTGACGAGGCTACTTTCGTCACATACGTTTTACTGTTTTGAAACACTAATGTTTGTGTTCAGTGAAGTTTCCCCAGTATAATAGTAACACCCATGTACAGTTTTTGTGTGTTTTGAAAAGTTAGTCAAATACAAGGCTTGCATTTCATTTTTTCCACATTGAAATTTGCTAGTAATATTGCATTTGAGACCGTATAGTAGCCCAGGAATGAGAATTACACCATGATGGCATACCATTTGCAAAAGTAGGCAACCAAAGGTATTGCATGTGGGGTAAGATTGGACATGCCCCACTTGCAATACCTTGGGTTGTGTACTTTTGCAAATGGTATGCCATCATGGGGACATTCTCATTCCTGGGCTACCACGCGATATCAAAATGTCAGGCGGAACTACAAATGTTTTTAAAAACAATCTTAATTTCTCACAGTTTTTATTTTATTCATAATAAATTATGTTTCAAAAATGAATAGTTCATGAGAAATTAAAGCCCTGTTTCTCTGAACAAACTGATATATAAGTAGTGTGGGTGCACTTAATATGAAAGAGGTGAATTACAGTTGAACAGACCTATATAGCGCAAATTCCATTTATTTTTTTTGATCAGAACGTGTACTATTGTCTCCTTCCTGAAGGGGTTAAACATTAGGAGTAGACTGTATTTATATCTAGAATTGAAACACACGTACACATAATTTCTCATGCTTTTGAACAAGCAATGTTAGCCACTCTCCCACACACCTGATTCACAATTCTAAATCTTACATGATAAGCCACTGTCAAATCCACATACTAAATTAGCCATATTCCCTCACAAATGCATCCAAATAAAGAGCTCAAACACCGATTTAGCCTCATATAATTAACCATGTATTTCCACTTGCACATAACTAGTAATTCACTCACATGTTATGGCATAACGTGTCCTTTTATGGTGTTTGAATTTCATTCTGATGTGATCTGCTCTTCTCAGTACACAGAAATGCATAGCACACATACATAGGCACATGTTTTCTAAAGTATTATTCTCCCAATTGTCTCCCTGCTGTTGGTGATGAGTAGACTAGAGGGGCTGCCTTTAGTTGCTGTGGTAGCAAAGACCACTTTGGGGCTTCACTTGCTCTTCTGCGCAACATTCTGATTGACAGTGCTGACAGAATGTGATGTGATATTCTTTCCTTTTAAAGAGCATGTTATAGTTATTGTCTTTTAGGAAGCACCAACGTGTATTGCACAGTGCTTTACAATGTTATAAGTTTTGAATTTAACAACAAATTTTGACAGAAACAAGAAGTTGATGAGGTCCATGTCCAAGTTTAAACAAGCTTTCAAATTGTAGGCCAAATGAGTTAAATCTTCTAATTCCATTCTTTCTCCCGGCTCTGCAATTTTGGCCTTAAGATTACAATATAATTTTTATCTCAGTTAAGTGAATAAACCACCATATGTGACTCAGATGCAGGTCAGAAAAGGAGCCTTCTGTGTAAGCATGTTGTGAGCAGAATTTTCATGTGCTGAAAACAGAGCATGGCTGATGTGTACCAGGTCACTAGAAATAGATAACTTGTGCAAGATATCATGTGCTCTGTATGGAATTGAGTTTATCATGCTTATAACTTTAAGTAGTTAAAAGAGCAGAGTAATTTGCAATAATGTGTTTTGAGATCACAGAAGGAACAGTCACATGTGTACTAATCGTAAAATGTTTCAATTTAACAGAGAAGTATCAGTATGTTGGTCGACTTCTTAAACCAGGTGAAGAGCCATCTGAATATACAGACGAGGAAGATGTTCGAGACCATACGAAACAGGAATGAACTTTGTTGAAAACCAAAGTCAGGGTCCTTTTGGAAACTGCAACCTCTTCTCATGAATTAAAAAACAAGGACCTCGTGGGTACGACCTGTGCTCCATTCTATCGTCCAGATTTTGTATAAGGAAATAAGGATAATGTGTAATATTGCAAAAGAAGATTTTAATACTAAGTATTATGGTCTTTACTGCCAGCCATTCTCTCTTCCCTCTCTTAGCAAGCTGTACCTGTGATTGGACAATGTTACTGAAAGATAATGATGGAATTGTATCATTATACTGATAATTAGTGAACTGTATGGCAAAACGCTAATTTTAAGCAACTGTTCTGAACTGTTGTTGTGTAACAGCGTTTTGTGTGGGTGTATAGGGCGTAAAAATCTATACATAGTGCTTGAACAAATGACAAATATGTAGATTCTTCTGAAAAATTAAGTTGGCCTGTCCCTTCTAGTACCATAAGACCCTGGCAGACCCTGTATGCAAATTAAGTATTATCTGTTCCGTCAGTTCGTTTGCATATATCAAAATTACGCCCCATTTCCATTCTTGACCTATATTTGCCTGTAATTTTGCTAGCACAATGCATATAAGTTTTATGCTCTACATACATGCTGTTTAGGTGTCTGGTCCAGGATAGCTTTTGGTGGCTGTATAAGTGTTTGGGAGAGCTTGGAAGAGGATATGCTAGTTATGTGGTATTCTGGTTTCTCTGTGATAAGTAGAGAATTTGAACTGTGCTTTGTTTTCGTGTTTTGTTTTTTTTTTGCTTATTTTAGGACTGAAAGTTTAGATTAGTTGAATATTTTGTAGTTCATGGAACTATTATTCAGTAATTGGCAGCCAACCACGTACACTCCTTTTCTTTTAGGATGATTGTTAAGCATTGTGGGTGGTGAGCTACTGTAGATCATCCCAGTTCTACAGATTGTCACTAAGCTAAACTTACAGTGCTACTGTGTTTTAATTTTTTTTTCCCCTTCTTCTCTACATTCGTCCGAATCAGTCTGCACTAATTTAACCGTTGTTCAGGTGAGGTTCATAAATTGTTTTGTAAGTAGATTTTTCACTAGCAACCCCACCATCTCATTTTGTTGTGTTGTTTTAATTTTTTTTTGTTTATTCTGAATTCACTTCAGATGAAGTAATAAAAGGTCAACAAGTGTGGTCAGTTTTAAAATCTGATCCTTCTGATGGTAAAAGGGGTTCTAAGTCCACATTTATTAAAGGCAACCTTTTCAGCACATGGTAGGATAGTGTTAGTCTGCACTCCTTTCATCAAATCAATGTGAGCTATTTTACTGCTGCAGCCAACATCTGCACTGTATCTCACTGCAGATCAGTTCAGTAGCAAAGTAGTTATTATGTGCCTTACTTCTTCTAAAGACTTGAATTGCTTTAAGGGAAACGACACCCCAGTATGTATTAGTTCAAAGTCACTACAAGCACCTTTGATACTGAAGTTGATGTTCTGTACTGACTGGAAAGCCTTTGTCATTCTGCGTAAATGGAATGTAAAAAGGAATATTCAGTGTTACTGCCATATATGTTAACATAAAAGGTAACATGTTATTATGGCCCAAACATCCCAGCCACCTTAGCAGTGCTTTATTTTGTTCAACAACTGCAAGACAATTTGGATGGTCATGTTTGTTTTGTAGTATGTATGGTTGTGAGTGTGCATGAATGTTTGAGACACGTGTGAGAGGGGGTTTTCAGCAGAAACTGTGTAAATATAGGTGCCATTTTAATAAAGCATGTAAAATAAACCAAAAGCAGAAGACAAACTTCCTCTGAAACACTGAAATTGTTTGTATTTCTTACTCTTTACAATTTTTTTTATATGGTAATGTCATTCACTGCCGTCTGGTCTTTGATTAGTCACTATTGTTCTGCTGCATATTAAAATGATTTTTGGGGGTTCTGGGGGTTATGACTTTGGGGTATTTGTATGTCTGGTCAGTGTGGGTTTTTGTTTTGTTTTTTTGGGAGGTGGGCGGGGGGCAATATCTTATGTTGCCATGGAAGAAAAATAACAAAAACACATGTTTTAAGATCTTCCAGTAGGTGAGCCACTCATTCCAGCTTCCAAGCAAGTATAACTCTTTTATATTAACCGTATTTGTCATAACTGATAGTGTTACATTGCGAATAATACATTCCATTAAAGGAACACATCAAGCACAGTAACTACTACAACCTGGTAGTGGTTATGGTGCCAGGAATACCCTGGTGCCCTCCTTGAGTACGTAGTTGACAAATTACCTTGGGTCCTCTGAGTGCCTGCTGCCTTCTCTGCAGTTAGGAGTTCCTGGTTGAGCCTGGACACCGTCTGCTAGTGAGCTGGCCCTGCATGGCAGGGCTCGGCTTAGTGGAGCTAACAAACTCCTTGCAGTAGCTTTTCTCCAGTGGAGGTGGTAACAGGTGTCTGGTGGACTCCAGGTACATTGTCAAATCATTCTTAAACGGTTTGACTACTTACCCAGGGGCACTCATGGCTCCATAATTAGTACAGAAGGCCATTTCATGAAGGGGAAACCCTATCCATAGATGTGTACATTTGTCTTTTGCAAAGTTCACTCTCAAACAATTACTATCCCCGTGCACGTAACTTCAACCTAAAAAAAAAAAAAATTGTCTCACTTCCTTATAATTCTGCACACCTTCTCATTGCACATACAATCTATTTATATAGCCTATTATTGTTAATACTGTTTGACATGTCCTAATAACATTTATTGGCACGCAATGTGAACGCTAGTTTTTAAAGGGGTTTTCTAAGCACCAAAACAACTTCATAGATCATGCCACGGCTTAATTTCTCATTTTTAATTTTGTTGATGCAGCCCTGCCTGCGATTCCTGCAGCTTTCATTAAAACATTGTTTCATTTTCAGATCTTACAGCATTTGTGTGCTCTAGATATTATCTTCTGCTTTTTTGACATTCTTTATTTTATCATGCAGAGATATACACACAGCTCTTTGTAACCTATGAACCAAATTATTTAAAGCAAGATAAATGACAAGTATGTAGTGGGATTTTTTTCTAGAAATTAAACTTAACATGCGTAGAATGCTAATGGAGACATTTTGTAAGTTGCACAGGAATTAAAGCTCAAGAACATACCATAGTATATTGTGAGAAAGGGGGGGGGAAAAACACTGGAAACATGTCCTGTGCATGGAATGTAAGCTGAAAAGCCAATGTAGGTCATTATCCAACTCCGGACACATAACTGCGGTATGCCCAGCATCCCAGCTAGTCTCCCCACCAGCTCCAGTGATCCAATGCACCGTGCTCAAGGCACCAGCTGATTCCAGTGACAAGTGCAGACTCTCCAGAACCTCTCCCAGAGAGTTGTCTCTCATACAGGCTATGGACTCCCAGAGGAAGTGAACAGTGCGTGGGGTGACAAACCCAGGTGGCTCATAAGCCAGGTAAGTAGTGAGATAACTGGGGCCTCTTCCTCCATCTTGGCAACTCATTAATATTGCCACTCCTAGCAGGCTTCAGTCGCCGAGGGGTTCTTGGCCCAAGTTGGTTGGCAGCGGAGTGGTTAGTTTAGCACTTTGGGGTCCTGGCTGGAGTCACTCTGACCCTACACTGTGTTGCTCTCGCTAGGGAGTCTTCCTTCTGCTGAGGTAGTCTGCTCCAAAAGCTCTGAAGCATCGCTTAAAGCTTCATTAAGGTATTATCTACAGAGTGGCAAGGTGCCTGCTGGGGATTGCGTATGCCCTGTATATCGGGTGTTGGAGCGTCTGCAATTCTGTGTGTGCGAAATGGGGTCTGCGTGCAGCTCAGAATAGGTTTATGTAGCTAGACCACTCTAGTTAGGCCAGTGGGGACTGGAATAACCCCTGCCTGTCCAGAGGGGGTGGTAGGTGTTTAGTGGTACAGTATAGCAATCAGATGAACAGGTAGATCGGCCGCCTTTCCCCCACTCCATCTGCAGCAGGCCCAAGCTGAGTTTCTCGGGTTTCCGGTGGAGTTCAGTTTAAAATCTTTGTGCTTGTCCAGAGAACCCCTTACTCTGGTGTTGCACTTGAGTGGGTTCAGCAGTGTGTTGGCCGCGGTTAGCAACCCCAAACTGGCCAGATAAGGAGCTTGTGCACCACGCGTCTTGTCTGCCTGACAGTCAGGCCCCTCCCCCCTTCTCCCCTCTTTTAAATAAACTTTAATCACAGACATCGGGCTCTATCAATCTATTAACAGAGTATGAGGTGAGAAACCCTACGTTAAATATGCTGTGCAATACCAGAAGTTTAACTATTAAATCAGAGAACTGAGCAGTGAGACTGCACAGGCATGATCTATTAAGCTAAACTCCCATAAGCTACACTTGTTTCCGTTCTAAGTGTCCCTTTCAAAACTGGAATTGAGAGAGAGGGGTTGCTTTTGCTGGCATGACTCAGTGATCTTTGCCCCCCAGGGAAGTTCATCTACATGCTTAAAACTCTTGCTAGCTTTAGCCCAATAGGAAACCGTTTAGCTATAGTTTGCTGAACATAACTCAGTCCATGTTTGTAAAACATATAAAAGTGGGATAAAAAGCTGGAAATGTGCATTAGTGGGAGAGAGAAATAAATTGTAATACCATGGGGCGAAAAATAGAATTTCTTGCAGCTAAAGCATTTGTTCGAATTGCTTTTTTTTTTTGTTATATATTTTGTGGGCTATTGCTGTTCATAAAACGGGAACAACACAAGGAAAATGCTGTCCTTTTAAATATATACCTTCATCCAGCATTTGTAAAGTTAGAGGGAAACTGTTATTTCTCTAGAATTTACACCACTGAATAAAACAATAGAAATCACCCATAACTTGCATTCACCCTTTTCTCGTAGTGCATTGGCTAAATTTTAAAAGGAATGGAGCAAGCCTAGGTCAGGTACGGTAAAGCTTGTAAGGAAGAGGAGAAATAAAACATTTGAGTTCCTGAGTGCTGTATAGATGTAAAAGGGATTGAATCACTCATGGGTCGGGTCTACTAGATCCCATGGCACTTGCATCCTTATTAGTGCTTTGCACCACGTTCCAGAAGACAACACAACTGGTCCAGTTACTTACGGGTTTATTTCGTTCAGTGAAGATAAACTCAAGAGGAACACCTGCCTTGCAAAGACATGCAATTGAGCTGCATTGCAAAGTCTGTTATTGGACAACCACAGAAAGTCTGGGTGGAGTTATAAGGGGAGGACTTGCAAAGACTTCCAAAAAATAGATTTACAGATTTTGAATGTTGATTTAAATAAACACAAAATGAAATGCATAATTAAATCTATTATTATATCTATTAAACAGAGATTTATCTTATTGGATTTGGGCAGTGGAGTTTCCCTTTAAAAATCCTGGGAAGTGACAGTTCCCTTTTAATAATGCTCGCTTGATTGTATGTAGGAAGAAACTATGCTATAGTTCAGTTAAGCAGCAACTATGTGAAAAAAATGGCCTAGTCAACATGTATTTCTCCTTGCTATCCCTAAGGTAAGCTAGTGCTTAGCATTCTGAAGAACAAGCAAGTGTTACTTTCTTCAATAGACATGCACACTTGAACATGGTTTTTTTTTTTTTTCTTCACCCTACAAAGGTCCTTGCTAAATTGATTATAAACTATACACTGGATGATATGCATTAAAGATAATTCACAGATATTTGTATGATTATAATCTGTCCGTTATGCCCTTTGTGACAAGGGGTAGGCATATGCCATGTTATGATGGTGTTGGTACATAAAGAAGGAATTAGAATTACCGAAAGACATATTATATATGTGAATGTTGAAAAAGTAATGTCAGAAGTATAACTTACTGCAGCAAATAAAAACAATTAAACAAATGATATGTGTTTTCTTATATTACAGCTATTTAAATGAGCAGAAGGAAGCATTACAACAAAACTGTTACACATGTGGATATGAATGTCCTGGTTTAATTTAAATAGCACTTTAACATTTTTTTCTTTTAGCATGGTTTAGGAGTAAAATACATTTGGTTGGAACACTTTGCACTTGGATAATGGCACTTTAAGATTTTTGGGGAGTAAAAAACTGCATCTAAAACTGTTGTGCAAGTAACTGTTTCATCCCAAATGACATGACTGTATGCCATAATTCCTAGTGTGCACTACAGGAATGTGGGATGCTGATCATATCATTTGGGGATAGGGTGGCTTGTGCACAAGCTGTTCCTCCAATCCATGGCACAATGCCATGGGAGTTAAGGAAATAATGCAGGAACGGATTTTCACTTAAAGGACAATTGTCATAATTATTTATTAAGTTAATGAATCAATTGGTTCTTAGGTTTGTTTTGATATATATTGTTTTATATATTCATTTTTTTAATTTTTAAAGAAATTTTTCTGTTTTTATCTGACTGAGAAACCACTACTACTGTTCTCTGACAAACTCTATTTCACATAGAGTAATCACAGCTAAAGTTGTTTAGATAACAGTGGATTCTGACCCCACAAGGCTACTCGGTGGAAAAAGACAAATATTCTAAAAAATTTATATTTTTAGTGTGATGACATGTGGTGGAAGAGGGTGATCTGTGAGCCACACAGCCCCACCGCAGCCAGGGATCAGAACCCGCTATAGTTTGACCAAATACAAGTATATACCCCACTTTTGTGCCATTGACCTCAGTAGTTGTTGCCGCTGCATATGAATCGGAGAGAGAGGAGAATGGTGACTAGTCTCAGATGGGCGCCCAGAGAGGGATGACGGACCTGTCACAAAGGTCGAGAAAATAGTGGGAATAAGGAGTGGAATGAAGTAGAAAGGAAGGGGAAAAAAAACTTTACTACAAAAGCTGTTATGACAATAACGTTGGAAAGATCTACTAAACGGTCAAATAAGAAGGCTGCCAGGTCGATAATTGTGAGTCTATTGCTATTCCCCTCTTCCTTAATTTTATTTGTCACATCTCTTAAGGTGTGGATGGAATAGGAATTTTGCTGTATGTGTAATAGAGCAAAAGAGATGTATTTTTTGTTGTTGTTTTTTTTACTTTATTTCAGACGTTACCAGCCTCTATTCTTTCAAGCTTTCTGCATCTCAGACATTGGTATATTAGTCATCATCAATTTTTTCTCTCCCCTCTCTTTCCTATTTATATGACTTTAATTAATATAAAACATTAATATTACTCATTAACAAAGAAAGAAAAAAAAATACATAACATAAAGCAGACAAACACAACATACACACACGATGATGAAACCCTCTTCCCCAGTCTCTATGCATTGCTATTCATAATACTGATATATGAGATTAAAAAAAAATTCTTTCCTCTTTTTTCTTTTTCTTTTCTTCTTCATTTTCTTTTCTTCTTCATTTTCTTTTCTCCTAACCTTCCCCCCCCCCCTTTTTTCTTTCTCTTTCCTTTTTCCCTCCCTTTCCTCTTCTATGTATATTAATCTACTGCCGCCAATTTTTTTTAACCACTTATTTATGTTAAATTTTTTTTTCTTCAGGTTTCTATTCAAACCCCCCTCCATCCTAAGTTGCGCAATTAGTAGGTTTTTTTATTATGTCCCAATTCGGTAGATTTTTAGTTCTCCACCTTCTAGCAATAGAAATCTTTGCTGCTATTAATGCATGGGTAAAAAAGTGTTGTAAATCTACATTATACTGATAAATATTTAAATGTAATATAAACATTTCCCGGGCAAAGGGGAAGTTAGATCCGGTTACCATTTCAATTTTGGACAAGAACACTTTCCAAAATTCCTTAAATGGAGGGCAACTCCATCAAATATATACACAATCTCCCACTCCCCCTTCGCATCTCCAGCATATATCTGTTTTCCTCTGGTCTATTTTGTTTAGACGGCTAGGAACACAATAGAGTCTGTTAATGATCTTAAAATGTAGCTGCACTAAATTTAGGCATTTAATGTGCCTAGCAACTGTCAGCCATGATCTATTCCAGTCCTGTCCATCAAGTTTTTGTATTTTTAGATCTTTCTCCCATTTTGTCGTCACCCTCTAGTTGTCTCAATAACGAGTTACATTTATTTAAAAGGTTTTTCATGTCCTTTCCTTTCAATATGTTTCCTAATTTATTATTGAATTCCCATTTCTCTTTATTTAGAGTTTTATTCAAATAGCTTTTAATCCTCATATAGTTAAATTTCTCCGGGAGTTTCCGGGAGACCAAAATTAATACATATTTGTTCAAACTAATTAACCCTGGGTCCTGTTATATTTTCTATAGTTTGTATACCTGCTCTTCTCCAATTATTTATTAATTTTATCTTAGGTCTTGCATATTATTTTCTAGTATTGAAATTGGCAGGGTGTTAATAATGTGATTTTTAAATCCTGCACTTTTTTTTATCTTACTCCACATTCCTCTAATGGACTCTATTACCACACTATTAGAACTTGGTTGGCTCTTATTTGTTTCTCCTTCTTGAGTAAACCAGAAAAGTGTTACTAGATCCCTACCATCTGCAAGTTCCTTTTCCACCTCATACCACCTTTCTAGTTTAGCCCCAGCCAATTGTGAAATGATACTATGGAAAAGGATACTCACTTTATAGTATTGTTGTATGACTGGGAATCCTACCCCTCCCTTTGATTGATTAATCGAGAGGAGTTTTCTTGCCATTCTTGGTTTTTTTTGCTTGCCATATGAACTTAGACCAGGCCTGTTGTATTAATAGCAGCCAACTATCGGGGACACTCAGGGGGATCATTCTAAACAAATGTAGCCATTTTGGTAAGATGTAAGACTTAATAATATTAATACGGCCCCACCACGAGAATTCTAAGATTTTTCCAACCCTTTGGGAGTTTTTTTTCATTTTAATAAGCAATGGGAGAAAATTGATCTCTACTATTTTGAGTGGGTCAGCACAGATATTAATTCCTAAATAATTAAATGATTTTTTGACCCATGCAAAGTCAAATTTCTTAATAATCTAATTTTTTTCTTCTTTATTTACAGCTAAGATAGTTGATTTTTCTATATTTATTTTATATCCAGATACCTGGGAAAATCTTCCAACGATTTCCATAAGTTGTAGTATAAATTGTAGGGGTTTTTGTATTGTTAAGATAACGTCATCAGCGCATAAATTTATTTTAATATTTTCTTTATTAAATTCAAAACCTACTATCCTCTGCTCCTGTCTTATGGCTAAAGCCAAAGGTTCTAATGCCATGATATAGAGTACCGGAGACAAGGGACACCCATGTCTTGTTCCGTTTAGCAATGAGAACCATTCAGATCCGAAGCCATTTCCTAAAACTCTAGCCGTAGGTACTGTATAAAGAGCAGAGATATTCTGGAAAAGTCTTCCCTATAATCCAAATGCTTGAAGGGTTTGCCTTATGAACTCCCAGCTGACCCTGTCAAATGCTTTTTCAGCATGTAAAGATAGGGCCAACATGGGAGCCCCCGATCTTCCCGCATGATTCAAAACATCAATCAGTCTTCTCATATTATGGGTAGATGATCTACATGGGACAAACCCCACCTGGTCCCTATCTATCACGTCTGGTATAATTCTTTTCAAACGTTTTGCTATCATAGCCGAATAGAGCTTTAAATCGGTATTTAGAAGGGAAATTGGGCGGTAGTTCTTAATTTTTTATTGCTTAGGAATTGGGACTATATTCGCTTGCAGTAATTCTGCTGGAATCTTTTCAGTTGTTCTAAAGGAGTTAAAAACTTCGATCAAACCTATTTTGATATTTTTCAATAATTTTTAGAAGAGGTTATCAAACCCGTCAGGTCCTGGTGATGTTTTTTTTTTTAAGTTTATTAATACAGAAGATCAATTCATCCTCCTTGAATATTTTATTTAATTCTTGTAGTTGTAGATCTGTTATTTTCAGGATTTTAATAGTTTTTAGGAACACTCTGATGTCTAATTTATTTATTTGACTCGAAATATTGTATAAATCCTGATAATATTATTTAAAGGCTTCTCCTATTTTTTCTGGGTTTAATAAAGTTTCCCCATTGTGTACAATTTTAGTAATAACCTTTTTAACTTTTTCTTTAGTCTATTTGACATCAGTGCTTCTGCTCTGTTTACCATGTAATACCATTTTTGTTTCATGCCTATTAAGGCCTTATTAGCTTTTGCCATCAGTTGGTCATTTATTAATTTTTCTACTTCTGTTATTGTATTGGTAATACTATTCTAGGGGTTTCTTTTATTTTGATAAAGTAAGTCATCCATTTTTATATATAGCTCTGCCAGGTTAGCCCTTTTCTCATTCAGCTTAAATTCTTTGGCTGTTAGGCTTAAAAGGTGGCCCCTTATTATCACTTTAAATGCGCACCAGGTCATTGTTGGGTAGACCCCATTCTTTCTGTTCTCTAGGAAAAAAAGATCTATCATCTCTTTAATATAATTAAGGTTGTTTTCCTTTCTCATTATCCAATCCTTCATTCTCCATTCTGTTCTGGGTCTCTCAAACTGTTCTTTTAGTTCTAATATAATTGGGTTATGATCGGGCCACGTTGTGGTTGTTATAAAGATTTTTTAACCTGTTTCACTGAATTTCTAGTTTTAGAGAAGCATGAAAAATCTTTTTCTTTTACATGGAATATCCTCCAATAATCCAGCAAACCATTTTGTTTGACTAATTCAGAAACAAAATTCCAGTTAGTTTTTACCTTCTTATAGTTATTGCCTTTTAATTTAGGACTCCTGTTCAAATCTACGTCTAAGACGCAATGAAAGTCTCCCATAACAATGACTCGACCAGTTTTAATGCGGTCAATTCTATTAACCTCTTTAGACCGGAGGACGTACAATTACGCCCTATTTTAGGCGGCTCTAAATGCCGCCGGGCGTAATTGTACGCACTCCGGTTTTTGTTCACTTACCCGGTGCCGGCGGTCCCACGCCGGCGATCGCGGTGGGGGGGACTCCCAGGGAGCCCCCCCGCGGCAGATCCTTCTCCTCCGGTGACCCCCGGCCATGTGAGAGTGAGGTCCTTGCGAGGACCCCACAATCACATGGGCGGGGATAGCTGGCTTCTGTATTGCCAGCAGGGGGACTGCCTGTAATGACAGGTGGTCCCCCTGCTGGCTGGAAATAAAATAAAAATAAAATGTATTAGTGTAAAAAAAAAAAGATATACTTAGATCATATATATATATATCTATTATATATATGATCTAAGTATATATATACACATATACATACACACACATACACTGTCTAGGTGTATTTTACTATTAATATATATATATAATTATATATATATATATATATATATATTAATATCAAATTACACGTAGACTGATACTGGTTAAATATATATATAATTATTGTATATATATATTTATATATAATATAAAAAAATTAAATATGTAAATACGTTAAAAAATTAAATTTAAAAAATTAATTAAAAAATATATAGATGTGTGTTATTTCATTCTAACTGTATTGTGATATTAATATATATATATTTATATCAAAATACACGTAGAACGAAATAATATATATATCTACATACATAAATATATACGTATATATCACTATACATACCTATATATAAATAAAAATATTTAAAAAAAATTATATAGATATACACATATAGATTCACATACGTGTATATATATACATATATTAATTCTACATATATATTTATGTAATATTTTTACATAATTAGGTATCTTAATTAATTACAATTAGCGGGACCTGCAAGACAACCCATGCCGAAAGTAAAGGGAATTTAATTGGCTAGTACTATATTTAACCCTATAACTTTCCAAGACACCATAAAACCTGTACATGGGGGGTACTGTTCTACTCGGGAGACTTCGCTGAACACAAATATTAGTGTTTCAAAACAGTAAAATGTATTACAACGATGATATCGCCAGTAAAAGTGACGTTTTTTGCATTTTTCATGCACAAACAGCACTTACACGGACGATATTATTGCTGTGATACTTTTTACTGTTTTGAAAACACAAATATTTGTGTTCAGCGAAGTCTCCCGAGTACAACTGTACCCCTCATGTACAGGTTTTATGGTGTTTTCAAAAGTTACAGCGTCAAATATAAGGCTTGTGTTTCATTTTTTTCACATTAAAATTTGCCAGATTGGTTACGTTGCCTTTGAGACCCTATGGTAGCCCAAGAATGAAAATTACCCCTATGATGGCATACCATTTGCAATAGTAGACAACCCAAGGTATTGCAAACGGGGTATGTCCAGTCTTTTTTAGTAGCCACTTAGTCACAAACACTGGCCAAAATTGGCGTTTTTTGCATTTTTCACACAAACAAATACTAATGCTAACTTTGGCCAGTGTTTGTGACCAAATGGCTACTAAAAAAGACTGGACATACCCCATTTGCAATACCTTGGGTTGTCTACTATTGCAAATGGTATGCCATTATGGGTGTAAATTTCATTCCTGGCTACGTGCGGTGACCAAACCCAAACTTGGGTATTAGCAGTGACAACTACAGTTATGTTACACCCCGGTTACTCCCCAGTTCTTCACCCCCTACCTCCCACCCACACCACCACTCCTCTATCCATACAACTCCAGGGTAATTCTACCCATAGCAACACGCGTCCTGGACATCGACAAAGACCTGTACCAAAAAAGAAAGCGCAGCCGGAACTTAACTACCATACTACCCAGAGATTAGCCAGAGCAAGAGGAAAATGACATAAAACAAAGCGCACACATAAATTGACACACCACCATGAAAATATACTCCTATAACGTTAGAGGGTTGAACACCCCATACAAACGCCATTGCCTCTTTCGAGACCTGAAACGAGAGCAAGCAGAGGTGATATGCTTCCAAGAAACACATTTCAAAACTGGACCAACTCTTAGGCCTGACCTTTTTCCACACCAATACCATGCAGTCACAGGACACAAATCCAAAGGAGTGTCAATATTGATTAGTAACAAAGTGGCATTTACACACCATGACTCCTATCTAGACCCTCTAGGCAGATATGTAATTCTGGTGTGCACTATAAATAACATACTATACACCATAGTCACAGCATATGCTCCCAACAATGATCAAAGGAACTTCCTGCATAAACTTCTAACAAAAGAGATGTCAATACAGAAAGGAATGTTGATTTTGTGCGGGGACTTTAACCACGTCATAGATCCCCAACAAGACACCACAGCACAATTGAACTCCACAAATAAAGCAAAACAAAGTAAGGCGTGCAACAATTACAAGAAACTACTAGATGAACACCAACTTTATGATACGTGGAGACTACTCAACCCACAACAAAGAGACTACACTTACTACTCAGCCCCACACAAAACATACACTAGAATTGACAGGTTTCACATACATAGAACATTTTTAGATCAACTAACCGATAGCGCCATATGCACCATAAACTGGTCGGACCACGCCGCTATCACACTCACAATAAAAGATCAATACGACTATAAGCACAAAAGCCCATGGAGGCTCAATGAATCCATACTACACAACCCGCAATTCACGGAGTTCATAACAGAAGAACTCACTCAATACTTTAAAGTAAATACTTCTGAACATTTAGAGATCCACACAATATGGCAGGCACACAAAGCGGTCATGAAAGGCCTACTGATACAAAAGGCGGCCCAGCTCAAACACAGTACCCGAACACAATGGTTAGACTGGAACAAACAACTGAACGACATTACTAGCCAAAACAAAACACTTCAAAGTGATACGTTGCAAGAACAAATTAAAAACCTACAAGACAAAATTAGAGACCACACACTACAGCGAGTAAGCTACAACTTACGCAAGCTTAACCAGCTACAGTACACTCAAGGCAATAAGGCAAGTAAACTGCTGGCATCCAGACTTAAGCACAAAACAGTAAACAGTAGGATACCATATATCATAGACCAAAAGAACAAAAAAGTTATATCTCCTGTGGACATTAGCAACGCATTCGCGTCATACTATAAGGAGTTATACAACCTCGAACAGTCCACCCAAATAACCCGACTGAGTAGTGAGGACATAAAGAAATACCTAGAAAACATCCACTTACCGACACTATCGAACGCCCAGATCAAAGAACTGTCAGCTCCTATAACAATACAGGAAATAGAGAAAGCAATCAAAATCCTGCCAAAAAACAAAGCACCAGGCCCAGACGGATTGTCGAACCTCTACTACCAAAAGTTCCAACACATCCTCTCACCTCACCTCAAACAGTTATTCAACCAAGCCACGCAATCAGGAACACTACCCAGCGAACTCCTGATGGCTCATATAATCACACTCCCCAAACCAGACAAACAACCAACACACTGCCCCAATTTCCGCCCAATCTCACTCCTCAATACAGACGCAAAACTATACGCCAAAATACATGCACAGAGACTAAGCCGAATACTACCCCAATTGATCCACAACGATCAGGTGGGATTTGTAGCAGGGAGGCAAGGATCAGACAATACACGCAAAGTTCTAAACCTGGTGCACAGCATGAGGAGAATGGGAACAAGAAGCCTCCTAATATCACTAGATGCAGAGAAGGCTTTTGACCGACTTGGCTGGCCATTCTTACGGGAGGTGCTCAAAAAATTCAAATTTCCAACGCAATTTAATAACGTAGTCCAAGCCTTATACAGCCACCCCACCGCCAGAATAGTAACAGCAGGATTCTGCTCAGACACATTCCGAAAAACTAACGGGACAAGACAAGGCTGCCCACTCTCGCCTCTTCTGTACGTCCTAGCACTAGAACCGTTAGCAGCCAAAATTAGAGGAGAACTTTCTATAAAAGGGGTCACATTGGGTACGGAAGAATACAAACTAAGTTTGTTCGCAGACGACATCTTTGTAACCATGACTGAACCATACATCTCGCTGCCCAATCTCATGTCACACATAGCCCAATACGGGGAACACTCGTACTACAAATTGAATATAACGAAGACACAAGCCATGGGAATAAACATACCCAGACAAAAAATGGAAACCATGCAAGAGAAATTCCCAATGGATTGGCGCTCTGACTTCCTAACCTTCTTAGGCCTCAAAATTACAAAGAACCCATCCAACTTGTTCAAAACCAACTACAAAACCATGCTAGGGAACTTTAAAGATACACTGAAAGCCTGGGAGGGGAAATATATATCATGGGTGGGGCGAATAGCAGCCTTAAAAATTTCACTATTACCCAAACTGCAGTATCTCTACAAAACCCTACAAATCCCACTACCACGAAGCTTCTTCACAGAGATTCACAACATGTTCCTCAGATTCGTTTGGCAAAACAAAAAAATAAGAATTGCCACGAAGATTATACAACGAGACATAACCGAAGGTGGGCTGGGATTCCCAGATGTACAAGCTTACTATGAAGCAGCAATACTCCACACCGTAGCGCAAACCACACCCCACCCCGAACGTCCACAATGGCTCAAAATAGAAACCCACTGGGCTCAACCAATATCATTCCATACATACCTATGGACCCCAGAAAAACACAGATGTCCGATACAACATCTACTCCCTACATCCCAACTACTGATAGAAATATGGGATTCGACTAAAAGTAACTTAACAGCTTTTTACCCAATACCACTATAATAATATCCACAATCGACAAAAACAAATGGTTGGAACATGGCATCAAACGGATAGAACAGCTATTTGACAAAGGAGTAATGTTGCAGTTCCCTACCCTGCAAACTAAATACGACCTACCGCACCGCATGCTGTTCCCATATCTCCAACTCAAATCGTGTCTCAAGAATACACACCCTACAAAACAAAACAAAGAACCATTCCAGACGCTATCTCTATACGAGAAATTCTGTACGAACGCCCTGCCCCCAAAAAAGGTAATATCATGGTGTTATAAAACACTCACACGCACGCATAACGAAGAGAAAATCACACATAAAATAGCTTGGCACAATGAACTAAACCGAACAATAGACGAAGAACACTGGACAAGAGCGTACTCGTCACACAAAGATATCACATCCTGTACGAACCACCTAGAACTGCAAAGGAAAATACAATACCGCTGGTATTTAGTACCAGCCAAAATACACAGAATATGGCCCCAATCATCCACGAATAAATGTTGGAGATGCAATACTCAAGAAGGAACAATGCTACACATATGGTGGTCATGTGCCGCCTTACAACCTTTCTGGCGCAAAACGCACCAACTGATTAAGCAAGTAACCAAGACCAACATACGACCCACAGAAGAAATGTGCCTACTATTCATACCACCGGACAACATGGACAAAACCCAGTGGACAACAACATACCACATACTGATCTCAGCAGCCATGGTGATATCGAGATTATGGAAATCGCCCACGGCACCGAATTTCAACGCCCTTCTCAACCAAATCAACCTAAACTGGCAATATGAGACCATGCTCGCAAAACAAAACGGGCCAAAGAAAACAATTTCCAAAGCAAACCTGATGTGGAAAGAGTACTGGGAACTCAAAGACAAACAGAAAGAAACATCACAAACCAACTCACAACAAACGGCTCCACCCACCTAGCTTAGCATAAACACACCCTAAAGAAGACTCCAAGTCATATGGACGAACACCTGGGAATCAACAATAATCAACTTAAGTAATCAGAATTACTCGCAAGTTCAGAGTTAGACGACTGTAACTAAGCCTAAAGTAGGAGACCCACCCATAGACCAAAACACATACTACCTACTTAGTTATCAATAAATACACCACTACAGCTAGCAAGAATATAAAAGTATGATGCACCGTACAACGCAACAAAGTAACCCCCCCCATCTACCACTACCTTTTGACACAACCCCAACATTAACAAACTAGGACATCAGCGCATCCGGAATATCTACAACTAGCGTAAAGATAGACAACACACCCCACTCTCCCCCCCCTCCATCTAATTAATAAGCTACCGCATAAGGACATAGTCACAAGCACAATCAAGAATTAGCCCACGACAACTACAGCATAAAGGGACAACACAACACAAGCAACTATACACCAACCCAGCCCAGGGTAAGAGAGGCAAGTCAATATATATTCAATCCAGGACTGTACGAAGTTATAGTAAATTTAATGTGATTTGTGATTTGCAATGTCTGCATAATGTTCTTTACCCCCCTAACCTCCCTTTCCTTTCTATACTCCCACCTGCTTTAAGACAAATAAAAATTGTCAAATTGAAATAGGAATATCAGGAAGCATTGTTGACTGGGAGAATTTTATCCAGTCTATTTTTGTCTTAAATTTGAAACAAACCTTGCATTCTCATTTCAGTGAGTAACCCTGACAATGTTCATAACAATCACTGCAATGTGTGTGTGTGTGACTTCAATTATGGTTAATGTGTTTTAATTGCAATTATGTAAATAAAATGCTTTGTTCTTGTAAAAAAAAAAAAAAATGTCATGTAGAACTAAAAAAATAAAAAAAAATCTTATTTTCTCCCATTTTTTTCATATTAAATTATGTTTCACATCTAAATATTTGATATTAAATGAAAGCCATGTTTCCCCCGAATACAATGATATATAATAAGGGTGGGTGCATTTACTATGAAAGAGGTGAATTACGGTTGGACAGACATGTAGCGCAAATTCCAGGTTTTGTTTACATTTTGTTTCGTTCACAACGTGTACATTTGGCTCCATCCTTAAGGGGTTAAATATTTTTCTAATAAATGGAATTTGTGCCTGGTTTGGGGCGTATATATTAACGTATATATTTTTGGTTATTAATTTCGCACACTTAAATTATGTATCGACCTTCTGTATCAAGTTCTTGGTGAACAATTTTCAGATAAACATTCTTCGAAAACAAAAAAGCTACCCCTCTTTTTTATTTTTTTTGGCTTACAGAGGCATTAATTATAGTGGGAAATAACTTAGACTTAAGTTTTATTTTTTCTTCCAGTTTCCAGTGTGTTTCCTGTATAGCCACTTTTGTCAGTATTGTTCTTTTGTTGCATATCAATTTGATCTGTTTTATCTTCCAGTTCTTCCATTCTTCTCCCTAAATTCTGGACCTCTCTTAATTTCTGGAAAATCTGTGCGGGTAAGTTTAACATATACTTAATAAGGAGTCCATAGAAAAACTGGAAAGAAAAAACCGTGGAAATCTGTTAATAGCATATAGCCGTGTATACCCTAATTAGTAAAGGAGTAAGTAATGTTTAAAATGAAAAGGAAAAAATAATAGGGATAGTAAAATATATGGGGAAAAACAAAATGGCGAAGAGAAAAGGAGGGGAAATAAAGCAAGTTATTTTTTTTTTATTATTTGCTCTATAAACTTGCAGACAATTTTGCCAATACAAAGTGTTAAACATTAAAGGGATACTATAAGTGCCAGGAATACAAAGCTCTATTCTTGGCACTATAGTTTCCCGTGCCTCCCCCACCCTTGCACACCTGCCGTATAAATAAAAGGTTAAAAATATATATATGTTTTTAACTTACCTTTTCAATGCTCTGCCCACAACAAGCATGCAGAGCATGAGGACGTCCAGCATCAGACACCGGACCAAAGGTCCGTTTTGATTCAGGAAGCCCTTTAGTTGTTTTCTGGTAGATAACCACTGTGGGCATACTTATTTTCTTTGGAACTGCAATGTTTAACATTGCAGAACTAAATGCAATAAGGACACTGCACCCAGACAACTTCAATGAGCTGAAGTGTTCTGGGTGCGTACAGTGTCCCTTTAATACACGTTAGGTGAAGCGGTTTCCTTCTCCATCCAAATGATGCTGCATTGCATTATACAAGTCATTCACAAACCCATAAAAATGTGGTGAAAGCAACCAGGGTTTCAACAGAAAACATGTTTATTATATGAAACTCATAAACAAATGTATTAAATATCGAATACACTCTACTGTAAGTGTTTTTTGTTTTCTTTTCTTCAGACAGTCCTGTTTTTGCTAATGTTTTGCTGTGAGACAGTAGTAAATCCATTCCATAATTAGATCCTGGACATCCAGAGGTCCTACTATAGCCTGTATGTTCGCTGTGGGAGGAACTTGAAAAACTCCAATTTTTTTTTTTTTTGCAGTGCATATGGGTTTAACAGGCATTCATGTGGTACCCCAACGGCATTCCACTTGCTTATTCCAAAACATTTGTGATAGTGGGGCGTGTGATAACCGTGCACAATTTTTTAGTTAGGTTTATGAACAAGCTTAGTATAAACGATTAAGTACTTTTGAGTATTTCAGGTTGTGTGTGCAGCAAGAGTGTGTTTCAAGGTTGTAGCTTGAGTTGGACAGGCTAGGTACAGGCTGTGAAATAGTGTCCTGCAAGGCAGTCTACTAATGTAGGTTTAGGCATGCTATATGGTATTAAGGTAGGTAACGCTTAAGGGACTGCACAGGGCTAATGTCTGGTGAAACACTTACATATGTAGTTGCAATAAAAAACAAGCATATTTTTCATATGAAAATCAAGCTAAAACTGGAAAGGTTATGTCAGACAGCGTTATAGCATAAAATAACATAATAGGAAGCATTGCTAGTCAGGCTTGAAATGTGTTTCTTGTTGGCAAGATGGCTAGCTCAGGTGCAGGCAAAGTTAGGTGTGCTCATTGTGATGAGTGTATCGTGCAGCGTCCCTTATGAGTGGCTCGTCATCTTGGCTGTGCAGTTTAGCCGGTTCCCATCTGTCGGAGTGGCGGTGCCAGGTGCAGTAGCCGGTATGGGTCCCCCCTCTCTGCACTCCTCCTCCTCTCAGCCTGGGTGAAATCCGAGTGCATAGTGGCCCCATTTCCCTGTCTTGTGGTGAGCATGTTGTGTGCTTGTTGTCTGTTGTGGGGGTTATGAAGCTTGCTGTGACTGGGGGCCTCTGCCGAGGCGGTTTGATGAGGATAGGGAGGTCCCCCCTCTCGCCCCGGTGTCTGTAAGCCGTTGTATCGGGCTGAGTTGTGTCTGGGGGTCGGAGGGCCTCTGCCATGGTGTCTTTGCCCATGGAATAGTGGTTTTCGGGAGGGAAAGGAATGGTTGGGCGGGTAGTCCCGGGTTTTGTCGCCTTTTTGTCAGTTGTCTTACCGCTTGTGGTCTGTTGCCGACCCACTGAGGCTTGCGTCGGGTCTCCCGCCTTCTCTTCCCAGCCTTCCAAGCTGTAAGTTGGTCCCCACCTGGAGCCGCTGGCTGTAGTGTTGTGACCTGTGGAGTTGTCGCTGGCAGCACCTCCGCTGGAGCATTCTTGGGGCCTGAAAGCTTTGCCCAAAAGTCAGCCATCGAGCGATCTAGAGTGGTGGCAGTGGGGGACTGCGTTCTGGCTGGCATGTGGTGTCGCCATGTGCAGCGCCGGGCCGACAGTGCAGGTACGCCCTGGTTGGTGCCGTGCCCCTGATTCTTGAACTGTGTGCCGGGATGTCTCTCTCCGGCGAGGGGGGGGAGTGCATCGGGGAGACCTCCAACTAGGTTGGCTGCCTTCAGCAGAGGGATCGGCCGCTTCCGTCAGAGTAGGCCTCAGGTCGATCCCTGAACTTTCTCTGCCATTTTCGGCCACGGTCTCGGTGTAAGCTTTGCCTCCGTGGTGAACCCTCGTCTCGGAGGTTGTAAGACAGGTAATTTTAGGGTTCAGTGTCGGTTTTTAGTTTGATTCAGGCTTTTTTTTGTGAGGAGCTCGTCTGGTGTGCGGCCGTTCAGCTTGACTGCTAGGCTCCGCCCCCATCAACTCCTTTAATTTTAAAATGTTAGCAGCTCTATTGTGATCTCCTGTCATGTATGTACAGTCAATGTAATACTGCTAGCTGCTAGCCAAGTCAACTTCCTAACTAACTTCATGATTGTGACAGATTTTGACTGCTCTTTATTAATTATGCGGCAGGCTGCCTGATTATCAAGAAAACACAGCATGACCTTTTCACAATTGACGCCAAACATGTGCCACCGCCACCACTATGGGAAAAATTACAAACAGAGCGGAGGAACTGTTGAAATTTTGCAATTCAGTAGTTTCAGGGGGCCAATGAGCTTGGACCCACCCTTTACTGTATATGGCTGTGTAGCCTAAGAATATATAGAAATGTAGTGTAAAATACACTATCTAGTGGAGAGCTAATACAAATATAAGTGATAGAGGGGTTCACTCACCCCAACAATTTTGTGTTGTCTTAAATTCAGGAATATGCTTTTTGTAAAAAGACTACATAAAATATATATGTAGAATTTAAAATATATATGTATATAAATTAATCTAATTTTTTGTTAAAATGATATATATATATAAAGGCGTAGCCTGTAATTGTGGGAGGGATTACCCGGCTATAAAAACTCCATGACAGAACTGCCACCGCTGGGTTCATTCAGAACCCTAGACTTCCGATTCCGGTTCACTTACCTGAGGCTTCGTTTCCACGCTGTCTCCAAGCAAGTCAAGTTTCCCAGGCAAAAAGCTACCCGACTCGCAACCACGTTTGGTCAGCCCGGTGGGACTACTCACCTCGCGGATCCCAGCCTCCCTGCAGTCCACTCACCTTGTTACAGCCACTGATCTCCAGCCACACGTGCCTCTCTTCTCCCCGTTCCGATTGGAGCCCGTCGGAATTAGCATCAAACTGACCTCTTACCTTACTGCTGCTTCCGGGTTACCTCCTCCTGGTCGGTCCCTGAAAGGGTTCATACGTACGCTATGTTCGGCCACCGCACGTCTCCCATTGTTGCGAACAAACCCCTTTCGTGTCCTTGTTCGTGCCAGTCGAGTTCTGTTCTACGTTTCATGGTCATGTTCGGTGCCATTAATTCGTATAAATTTAACCGAACTCGATGCTTTAGTTGGTCTACTTGTGACCCCTAGCGACCAAACTTCATTATGACAGTCGGTGTAATTTCTATTTCACGAACAATTTCGTTCACATGTATTCACTTGTTTAACTTAGAAAATTTTTGTCAAATTTAAGTGTTCTTCTTGCAAATATGTTTGTATAAAAGTACGTATTTCATTTGTAGATGTCTGGATTGCTAACATCCTTTTAGACAATCTTAATAAATGTTAATTTAGCCTGCTGATATTTTCACAAACTGTATCAAGTGTCTACATCTCATGTTCACATTTACCAATACTTTCATGCCATTACTTGTTCCCACGTTAGGTGTTTCTCAAATCCGTATATATTCATCACAGTCTCATTTGACTGCCTTCACTTCACTAAAAATATCACTTATTGACGGTTACTCTCCCCTACACACAGTACGTATGCTATGTGTTATTTTGTATGATCATTATTGTCCCTATGGCTATTTCCATGGCCGCACTCCTAGGGATTTGTAGGCCCTAAGCTCCATTTATTGATTTGTTAACAGTAACCTAAGTAGTCGGAAAAAAACTGGTGTAACCTTTCTCTAGCACACTTAGGCGCAAATCCTTGCAGTATATTGTATTTCCACTATGCATGTACATTTATGCATTCAAGAATCACCACATTGTAACAAAAAGAAAAAACACCTTGCGTGTCTATGCAGTGAAAAGGACCCAGGGAGAATCCTGGATACTTAATTGCAATGCACAGCCGCAGGTTTTACCTATATGTAATAAACAGCTCAAAACTTGGGTAGATAGCTAAAGAAAATAAAAAACCTTTATTATGTCATCTGACGTTAAAAACCTAATGTGAAAACACACACACATACAAAGTGAGCAAAAAACAGTGCTAAGTGTAAAGGTGATAAAAGGGAGGAGTGTTCTAAATGGGCTTACGCCGATATATCCATATGCTGACAAATTGTTGTAGAGTGTCTATATGGGTATAGATGCATTTACAGAAAATGTAGCTTGATAAATAAAAATGTATATTCAAGCTAGAAGTGCATCATATAGAACGTCCATAAAAAGTCAAATGGATCTAATGAAACATTACTCCAAGGTGAAGGCAATACCTCAGGGCAGCACTGTCTAGCGTCTAAATCAATTTAAGTGAATAGCTAAACAGAGCAGGTAATGTATGAAACCATACTAAGGTTTCTCTTCAAGTATAAGGAAAAGGGCTATATTGAGACTAGAGATGTCGCGAACCGTTCGCGAACTTCCCGCGAATGGCTCGCCGCGGTTCGCCACGAACCGTTCGCGGCGAGCTCCGGTCAGCTGACACATCCAGGCCAATCTCCAGCAGACCCTCCCTCCCAGACCCTCCCACCTCCTGGACAGCATCCATGTTGAAGCTGCCTTCAACATATTATAATAAGTAGTATTATAATAAGCTGCCTTCAACATATAATTATAAGTAGTTATCGCAAACATATTATAATAAGTAGTTGTCTCAATTAGAGATGTCGCGAACGGCTCGCCGCGGTTTGCCGCGAGCTCCGGTCAGCTGACACATCCCGGCAAATCTCCAGCAGACCCTCCCTCCCAGACCCTCCCACCTCCTGTACAGCATCCATGTTGAAGCTGATACAGAAATAAGTGGTATATAGCTGATACAGAAATAAGTTAAGCTCCATTTAGAGTCCCTAGTTTAAAATAAATAGCGGCTAAAAAGCGGCATTAGAAAGGCTCAACGTGTTTCGGCGCTCTGTTGCGCCTTTTTCGAGAGCAATGGTCTGTATTAGAGCCAGCATATGTTTTAAATAGTAAATGGTAACTTCTGTATGGACGCACACAGACACACCGAAACATACAATGCATCCTACACTCACACTGAAACACACCCTAATTACCTCACACGCACACAACGTAGCCCTTGCACACATACACAGAAGCACACAATGCATCCCTTACGCACGCGCGTACACACACACACACCTTGGATCCCTTACACATACAAACACAGATTCACACACATAGAAACACACACTACATCCCTTACACAAACTTGTATCCCTATACACTACATTCCATAAGAACACACACATTACATCCATTGTCCACCTCTAGCATCAACTCGTTGATCCCCTTTGCCTCCCAATGCGTGAACACGTCATCGCGCCCATGATCAGAATTTTTACTCCGGGATAGACATCCATGGTAACCCGTTCTTCTATTGGCCAAGTTATTATTCCAACTGGGTATCTGATGACTGGTATGGTATGCATGTTGATGGCTTGGATCTTATTACTTCCATTGAGCTAGTACTTCAGGACCTGTCTGTATGTATGTATATATATATATATATATATATATATATGTATATGTATATATCCAAGTACCTTGAGAGTCATATAGGTCTTACTTCTGATAGCTTTGAAATGCCTATGTGGGAAATTTGATGGCCAAGATTTTACTATAACTCAAAACCAAACTCACTGTCTTTATCCAAATTTGGATGTATTTTTTTTTAATTCTTTATTTTTATGTTTGGTGGCAACAAAGTTTGCATACATGAGAAAAGTGGATATTCTATGTTAGCGCAGAATAGGTGAATACAATGTACAGTACATTTAAAGTTAAGAGGCTGTGTGCATACAATAAGGAAATCAAAGACATGTTTCAGTACGCAAGCTAGGTGTTGCAATTAAACTGAGTATTAGTAACGGTTAGTGGAAAAACAAGGCGAGTCGTGTAGGTCTAGCTACCAGAGTAGCTGAGAATCACCATGTGATTAAAAGAGTTCTAGGTTAGCTAGCCCTGTAGAGTGTAGGCAGATCAAACAGCTAGATAACCGGCTTGTTTTTAAACTAAAATTTCAAAATAAACATATTTACAGTTAAAGGGACACTCCAGTACCAGGAAAACAAACCATTTTCCTGGTACTGCAAGTCCCCTCTCCCTCCCACCCCAAGTTGCTGAAGGGGTAAAAACCGGCAGGGGAGACAGATTGCGCACTAGACCTCCCCATAGGAAAGCATTGAAAATGCTTTTCAATGCTTTCCTATGGGGATTTTAGAGACACTGGAGGTCCTCACATAGCGTGAGGACATCCAGCGACGCTGTAGCACAGAAAATCTGTGCTAGAAACCTGGAAGTGCCCTCTAGTGGCTGTCTAGTAGACAGGCACTAGAGGAGGAGTTAACCCTGCAAGGTAAATATTGCAGTTTATAAAAACTGCAATATTTACAGTTGCAGGGTTAAGGGTAGTGGGAGTTGGCACCCAGACCACTCCAATGGGCAGAAGTGGTCTAGGTGCCAGGAGTGTCCCTTTAAAATAAAGGAAAAGTGATCTGAGAGAGTATGTCTCGAGGAGTAAATACTAGTTGAATTGTGACATGCTATGCTTTTAACAGCTGTGGTTTGTAGTGCCCCCCCTTACTAAGGTGGCCGTGGGGGGCAGGGGTAGGAATATGAGACGGGGTAGGTACTTGGTCAAACCCCTATCACATGGAGTGACGCCCCTTTCCAGGCCTGGTTGCGGTTACCCATTTGGACATGTCAAACTATAAAATAGAAAGAAAACATTGGAAACTAGAGTGAGTCAGGGTGTAGTGGGAACAGCCCACAAGGGGAGGGGGGGGATATGAAAAGGCACTTTTTGCGCTAATGACCCATAGGATAGTCATGTCCCAGCACTCGTAGACAGGAAGTCCCGTGGGGTGTAAGGGACTACAGTTGTTGGGTCCCAGTCATGTGTTCCTCGACCTCTCGCTGAGCAGGCAGTTCTAATGCTCTCAGCAGTGTTGGCGCCTCTTCCGCCGAAGCGATGCGGTGACCAGGCCCATTGTGGGTGACAATGAGGTAGTCCATTTGTATGCGACTCCCGCGGTTATCAGTTGGCTTGTGATTGGAAGGAGCGTTTTACGCCATTGCAGGGTGGACCTCGACAGGTCCTGGTAAAAGGTTAAGTCAGTACCCTCAAATGAGTAAGGGGTCTAGTTTTGTTGAGCCGTGAATAGAGCCCTTTTGTCTTCAGCGAGGGAGCAGCGTACTATGATGTTGCTTACTGCATTTGTTGGAGCCCTGGGTGACTTCGGTAGGCGGAACAAGTCATCAAAAGCAAGCTTTTTGGCATGTCTGTAGTAGCAGCGAAGCCACCAATCGCCTCATGTAGTGTGGTAATTCTTCCCTGGTAACGGATTCGGGTACCCATTATTTTCTGATTGTTACGTCAGGAGCGATCCTCCAGCGTAGAAAGGTGCGTGTTGTGTTTTTTGGACACAATGTAGAGAGTCCTTCACTTTGGACATGTCTTGTCTCACGTCCATGATGTCCTCTTCTGTTGCTTTCACACTGTGTGTAACCACCTGTAGGTCTGCCTGGATAGCTGCGATGTCAGTGGCTAGCGTTTGTCAGAAGTCATTGAGGATGTCTTTAGTGGCCAGGGCTGAGAAATCTGGGGAGCATGAAGTTGCCTGTGCTGGTCCCTGTGGCAGGGTGGGGGCTCGAGAGTGGTCTTGTGTGTGACTGAGTCTGCAAGGGCCTCTTGATCTTGCCGGGTTGCCATTTTGGGCAGGACCTGTCTCTGTAATAGAGCCCCTATATTGTGGGAGTCAGTTTGTGTACCTGGAGGTGGCTTCTGAGAGAGTCTTCCCCTGTTGGAGGTCTGGTATGGAGAAAGGCCGTCTTCCGGATTAGTCTCCGGCTGATGGGCTCCAATACTTCTTCCAGGCATCTAGGGAGATTGTAAGCCGCAGGCCTTTTCTGCCTGGAATTGGCAAAAATGGCATGTGCCGATGTGGGGAGCCACCGTAGGGTAAGTGCTGGAGCTGAGACTGCTGGATGGCCTGTGTGCCGTGAGATATTTAGCAGATTGCCATCAGAGCTGCTGGGAATGGCGTCTGCTCTGTTCCGTGGTTAAGTCCTACCCTCAAATTTAGATGTATTTTAACAGCCATGAATATTTGAAGCTTCCACATTACAGCAACAGAAGGGCTGGGTGTTTGATTCCAGGGGTGTTTTGCCATGGAGTGCAAAAAAAAAAAAGTTTGACAAAAGCCAGATTAACTGTACCCAAAGACATACACTGCTCAAAAAAAATAATAAAGGAAACACAAAAATAGCACATCCTAGATCTGAATGAATATTCTTCTGAAATACTTTGTTCTTCACATAATTGAATGTGCAGATAACAAAATCAAACAAAAATTAAAAAATGGAAATCAAATGTTTCAACCCATGGAGGTCTGGATTTGGAGTCACACTCAAAATTAAAGTGGAAAAACACACTACAGGCTGATCCAACTTTGATGTAATGTCCTTAAAACAAGTCAAAATGAGGCTCAGTAGTGTGTGTGGCCTCCACGTGCCTGTATGACCTCCCTACAACGCCTGTGCATGCTCCTGATGAGGTAGTGGATGGTCTCCTGAGGGATCTCCTCTCAGACCTGGACTAAAGCATCTGCCAGCTCCTGGACAGTCTGTGGTGCAACATTATGTTGGTGGATGGAGAGAGACATGATGTCCCAGATGTGCTCAATTGGATTCAGGTCTGGGGAACGGGCAAGCTAGTCCATAGCATCAATGCCCTCGTCTTGCAGAAACTGCTGACACACTCCAGCCACATGAGGTCTAGCATTGTCTTGCATTAGGAGGAACTCAGTGCCAACCGCACCAGCATATGGTCTCACAAGGGGTCTGAGCATCTCATCTCGGTACCTAATGACAGTCAGGCTACCTCTGGCGAGCACATGGAGGGCTGTGCAGCCCCCAAAAGAAGTGCCACCCTACACCATTACTGACCCACTGCCAAACCGGTCATGCTGGAGGATGTGGCAGGCAGCAGAACGTTCTCCACGGCATCTCCAGACTGTCACGTCTATCACATGTGCTCAGTGTGAACCTGCTTTCATCTGTGAAGAGCACTAGGCGCTAGTGGTGAATTTGCCAATCTTTGTGTCCTCTGGCAAATCCCAAATGTCCTGCATGGTGTTGGGCTGTAAGCACAACCCCCACCTGTGGACGTCAGGCCCTCATACCACCCTCATGTTTCTGACCGTTTCCACTGTTTCTGACCATTTGAGCAGACACATGCACATTTGTGGTCTGCTGGAGGTCATTTTGCAGGGCTCTGGCAGTGCTGCTCCTGTTCCTCCTTGCACAAAGGCAGAGGTAGCGGTCCTGCTGCTGGCTTGTTGCCCTCCTACAGCCTCCTCCATGTCTCCTGATGTACTGACCTGTCTCCTGGTAGCACCTCCATGCTCTAGACACTATGCTGACAAACACAGCTAACCTTCTTGCCACAGCTTGCATTGATGTGCCATCCTGGATGATCTGCACTACCTGAGCCACTTGTGTGGCTTGTAGACTCCATCCCATGCTACCACTAGAGTGAAAGCACCGCCAACATTCAAAAGTGACTAAAACCTCAGCCAGGAAGCGAGAAGTGGTCTGTGGACACCACCTGCAGAACCACTCCTTTATTAGGGTGTCTTGCTAATTGCCTATAATTTCCACCTGTTGTCTATCCCATTTGCACAACAGCATGTGAAATTGATTGTCACTCAGTGTTGCTTCTTAAGTGGACAGTTTGATTTCACAGAAGTGTGATTGACTTTGAGTTACATTGCGAATTTGCAAACTTTAATTTAACTTATTTGGGAATTCATTTTGGGACAGTAGATGGTAGAACTAGAAAATATTCATTAATAACCTGCCCGCTACTTACTGCTGCCAGGTGTTCGCATAGAAGTAGAATACCTCTGCCTTATACGCAAAATCAAAGCAAGCCTTCTACACTTTTCTTGCACTCCTAAACTTTGTGGGCCATGCGACTTACTTTCTGGGCTGTCAACCCAGATGGCGTGCAGGCTAGTGAACCACAGTGGGCAAGCAAACTCTGTACAATGATGTAGCAAGGGCAAGTTTATTTGAACTGCCAAGTGCAGTGTTAAGGTAAATCACTTTCTGGCTCTGCTGGAATGAGGAGAAATCTGTAAAATGCATTTACAGTCATGTATTTGAAGGAGTAAGAAAGTGAATACAAATTTTAAAAATATTTTTTTTATTACAGCAAGGTCTACAAGTTCACCGCAAAGCCGGAAACCCTCCAGTCTTTTATTGTACTGTACACGAAGCTAAAAATCCAAATAATTTACAATTTCATTATTTTGTGTTAAAACAAGTTAAAAACAGAAGTCAGAAAGGTAATCTATTGACAAATTATAGTGCAGCTGAAGTGGCAGGTCACTTGTTTTAACACATCATTAGTACGCCTCTACAATATAAACTTCAGCACCAAATGGACAACTTTTATGTGCAACTTAAAGTAAAATGCAATAGTCCTGTAATACATCCACATTTTATTTAATGAAAAAAAAAAATTGACAGTTTCCCTGCTTTGAGTTTATGGTTCGTTTAAGCCATAGAATTAAGAGACTAATGCAATATAGGTTTAAAAACTACACTGAAGAGTAAATAAAAAGACAGCCCAAAAAGCAAGTATTTCCCTTAGCAAAAAATATAAATAAAAAGTATATATAGTAGCAAGCATCACCTTGTAGACTTTTACAAAGCCCTGAATTATTCACTTACTAGATATGAAGGGATATAAAGCTAGGATCATTGAGTCATAAGAGTGTTACAGGGGTAAAGCTATTTTTTTTATTAACAAAGGACAGAGACTGGTTTTCAGGCACAGAGCCCCTACTTCAGGTGTTAACCACGGTCTTCACACATATGCTTGCAGTTCTCTTTAACCCATCTTACAACCTCATCACTAACTATCTATAGCTTTTCTTTCTCTTAACATAAGAGCATTCATGCCTTACACATGTACTAAATTCTTTTAAAATCAAAATGAAACCACTGAGTTCTAAACAGTTAATGAAGAGCAAGTTGTACTCTAAAGCTGCTGATTCTGAAAATCTGTATATAAACAGAAAACAAAATGCTATTTAGAACCATTATTTAAAATATAGTATTAGAATATTAAGTCATAAAAAGTATGATTTTTTTCACAATTATATATACGTCCTGGTAATGAAATAAAGCAGGTAAAAAAAAAAAAAAAAAACACGTTATGGATTCAAACACCCTCTCTTGAGCATTTCTTTTGAAACATTAAGGCTGTCCTTTCTGGAAAATAGAAAAGGAACCATTTCTCAAATGTACGTTTAGGAGAGAGAGAGAGGAAAAAAAAAAAAAAAAAAATTTGCTTTCGCAAACCTCAATAAAATACATCCTTGTTTGAGGAAACCTATGTAAGCTTCATTGTATTATCAATGTATTGCTTTTTGGTTATCAAGCATCCCAAGTTGCTGCATAGGAGCTGTGTCAACATTGCCATCTTCGCATGGCTAAACAATGTCCTCTTCTCTTGCTACCAGTTATGAAGGCTATTTTGTGGCACCTTTGTCCTGGCTGCAGTTGCTTCTTTGCCTCTTCGGCTGTGCTTTTACTTTGGGAGCAGAATTGGCAGATCCCAGAGAACGGCTGCTAGACTGTTTAACAGTAGAGGTTTTGGAGGTACCAGAACGATTCCTTCGGCGACCTGCATCTTCACATGCCAAGGTAGTTTGAGGCCTTTGTTGTCCAGCTTCTTCAGCTATGGGAGGCTGTAGATAAATGCCAGAATATGGATTCACTAACTTGGCATCTTCATGCTGACCTATCTGGATTTAGGCAAACATATATTTAAAAAAAGGCAGCATACATAAACGTTGGATTAAGTCATTACCAGTTTGCCTCTACTTACCTGGATTCATTATATAGGATTCTTCTATTACACACAAAATAGAATATAGCAGACGTAGGTAATGCAAAAGTATGCTGAATGTAACAGCACTGCAATAGTAATTACATACGATTGTGTCTGGTGTGATTTTTATAAGTGTTTCTAAACTGTAATGATAGATATATATCGATATATCTCTATCAGCATAACAGTGGAACGGTCATATTTAAAACTTACAACTAATTTTTTCCACCACCTGCAATACTAATTACTCCAAGTAAAAGCTTTAATACTGATAACAGGGTCAGCAAATATTCAGTTTACATAATTTTATAAAGGTGAATAGGATTCATTCGGTCAATAATCACTATTTGCTTTCATTCAAATTTTAGTTTACATCGCATCAACATGAAGGTAAACACTTTGGGCACCAACATAACAAACAAAGCACAAGTATCAGGCCAAATGCTTTCAAATTCACCTTTTCCCGTTCAAACAGATTTCATTTTGCTTAAAAAGGTACATGCATCACTTTGAATAACCTGAACTGGCAGGAAAATGTTAATGTAGCTTTTTCCCCAACTAGCAGACAGACAGCCGGCATTTAAAAAGATTTACCTTTAAATGAGACACTAAAAAATAAAAACAAAATACAGCAAAGTGAAAGCACAACAGAATATAAGGATAGCTTTTTCCCACCTTGATTTAGTTCAAAGAGCCACTCTGAATTTAGGACCAAAGAGGGGGAGGGGGAAAAACAAAAACAAAAACAACATCTTCTCATAGTGTATTCGATTTTTCTACTTTCTTCTATTGACATTCTTGCCAAACTCACTCTAAAGTGCTGGCCATATTGGCTCTATTTGATAGCAATTGGTAACAATTACAGATTGCAACATTAGTATGTAGGACTACATTTCCCTATCAATATAGGTCTTCTGGATTTCCCAAATACTCAATTCCAGTCATGTAATGGGACACAAAGTGCTATCAAAAAGACCCTATACGGCAGGGGTCCACAAACTCCTGCTGCCCAGAAGTTGCTGAACTACAACTCCCATGATTCTTTGAATTACATAGATAGCCAGAGAATCAAAAGAGTTGTAGTTCAGCAACATCTGGGGGTAGGGGTTTGTGGACCCCTGCTATAGGGGTTGGTAGAGGGGGAGGAGACAATGATGCGTTAAGAAAAACAGCAACAAACTGTTGCACTCTGAGCTGACATTGCTTTGATAAGTGAAACGTGTTTCAGAGTCGGTCAGGCAATCATGGTTGGCAAAAGCTCCATAACAGAACAAAAACATTGCAATTTTGTGACGGAGTATTTTGAATTTGCCTCCTCTATTTGGCTGCACCTGAACACTTCTCAGCGGTGTGTGAACCTCCACTGGATTAAGAAAAACCATCATTAATATGTGGCCAAATCCTGTCAAATGCACTTAAGTTATTTTGGTGTGGAGTAGCATGTCCTTTTAAAGACAGATGGCCATCTCTTATATTTAATTTCTTCTGGAACAAAGTAGATCACTTAAAATACTATGCATTTGAATAATATTTGAACATACATTTCACATTATTATTAATGATATTTATATAGCGCCAACTAATTCCGCAGCGCTTACACTTAGATTCTAAGTCCTAATTACTAGAGTAAGAATAAGAAACTAAAAAGTATCCAATCATGTTTTATTTTTATGGGTGTAAAAACCTTGATTGGGGTAGGATATGCCACTTACATCCACTCTGAAATCTTCCAGCCTCTTAAAATTGGACAAGTAACTCTCTAGTTTAGGCTCAACTGAAAGGTTTTTCCCTTTTGAATATTTAAGATATGCCCAAAACTTCTCCAGTCCATAAAGCTGTCCTAAAAATAAAAATATAAATATTTAAGTAAGAAGTAACAAAAAACAAAACAAAAAAAAAAGTGGATAAGAAAATTCTGATCGTGTTACCATTTTCATAGTCTTTCAGAGTTTCTTCCTGAAAGTCCTCAAATATCCCTTGCCTGAATTTCTTTTCCAACCCATAGCTGTAAAATCTAAAGAGACATTCTAAACCATACCTGCAAGTGATAAATGACAGTTAAAACGCCTGCAGATTTTCAATGAAACTTCAGACCGACACCCAGTAACATACAAAAGTTAGATTTTTTTTTTCATGGTATGCCATCATATAGTGTCCTTTAAGGGGCATCCTAAAACATACTTGACTTAAATTAGCAACATCTTTCATCGCCATGTACTTTATTGGTTTCTATTCAAAAGTTCTCAGGGTGGATTTCCCGATCTCAATTAACACCCTCAATATATCTTCATCTTAATGAGAAAGAAAAGGTTTGACACCTGTTTAAAGGGAGACTTTTAGAAACTAGCTTAATGAAGCAGTATTTGGGAATAGATCACACCCCTGCAGTCTCAATGCTCAATTCTCCTTTTAGTGAAACAATAACTATCACTCGTTAATGCAGCATTAGCCACACCTCATACAGCCAACATAGGGTGAGAAGTTTAATTTTCAATCAGATCTTGCAGTGGGGTAGTTACCTCCTGGAAAAAAAAAAAAAAAAAAACACGCACGCGCTCTAGCAGCCAATTACCAGAGCAGGAAATAAGAACTTCTAAACATATGCTGTAATAAAAATAGGTTTAAAAATTAAGTCTCTTTACATGAGTGTGTAGGGGACGCTGTATAGGTCAAATACAGCAAGACTGCAGGGGCATGATCTATACATCAAAGCTACTTCATTAAGCTAAAGCTGTTTTTGGGCCTTAGTGTCCCCCTTTAAAGCCACCCATTCAAGAGGTGTACAAAATACTCCCATTATAAAGACTTTTTTTCCCCCAACACACCTGGAGTCTTGCTTTGTCAGATACAAAAAATAAAAATAAAAAAAAAATATCAGATTTAATTATGTGGACATTTTAGCATGCTCTGTATATTTGTTTTAGAAATACAATGAATCTAGTTCTGGTTAGAATATCTGACTTGTATCTAATCAGAAACTGTATGTGGAGTATATTTCCAACTCCGTAAACTGAATCATGCATTTCCATCGCCATGACTGGACCAAAATTCTTACTGAGGTCTACCACTTTTTTTTTACAACTCATCTAAATATATAGTAGTAGCTACTACGTTACCTGTAGTTTTCTTTGGCTTCATCTACAGCAAGCTGTCTAAACTCCTCATACATTTTTTTGTTAAAGTGATCTCTGAGAAAGAAGGACCAGAAACGAAAGAGGGTGTTCATCTCTGGGGACTGACCAATTCCTAAATGTTTTCTTTCTGAATATAGAATAAGAAGCATATAGAAAAACTATAGTACTGCACATCTATAAAGCAAGAAAAAACAAACAAAACAAAAAAACAAAAACACAACAAATCAAAACCCCTCCTGAAAATACATTTGAGATAGACTAATATATGTACACTTTATTTTTTAAGATTAACTCTAGTCTGCAGCCATGTAATTCCTAAACACACTAAACTGGTGCCATAGAAGGATTATGGACATTATTTCCATAGTAGAAGAGGCAGTTCCTCACCAATGGCTAGTTGATCTAGCTTCCAACTACTTGATAGATCCTTCTCAAGAACTAAATGTGTCAGTAGCTCCACTTTAGATACCTCTAACATCTATAATAATAAAAAAAAAATATACCAATTTCTGTGCAAAGGTTTAATGTAAAGACTAAATAGGGACACATCATCTAGTAAGGAAAAGAGGTTTCCAAGCTTAGAGCAGCAGTACTCATGACTAGGATGTCACAAGCCATTTAAAAGGTGGGTGAGTTCTTCAAGACCACATGTAGCAGCTTTCACTGAAAGCGCACTTCTTGTGAAGGACATGCAGCCAATCATATTTGCAGAACGTATGTATTGAGGAAGGAGAGATGCCATGAACTCTCTCAGGAGGTGCTTCTGCCTTCGTTGCCAAAATGCAAATAATCTTCTGGTAGTGTGGGCTGTTGGAGACTTGTTTCCAATATGCTGTTAGAATAGTGAATTTCCATCATCTGGCTATGGAAGCAATGCAATCTTTACGTCACTCTTAACAGTACTTTGCAGTATTCTGATCCATCTGAAGCAAGCAAAATGAAATGCCTTTTTGAAGAGGCTCTAGAAGCTTTTTGAATAGAGGCAGTAGACCAGTAGAGATGTTTTGTTGGGTAAAGATTCATAAGACCTCTTGAACCAGAGGGGTTTTTTTTGTTTTTTTTATTGCTAGAAAGGAAAAAAGTTATTTTCTGATTCTGGGTTTTTATAGCTCTGCTATAACACCTCTTGTATGTGCAGGTCATAAAAATATATTACACTTGTTAACTGCAGGCAAATTTTTTCCTAACTGTCCATCCAGCCATGCTATTGTAGTTACTGCAGACAATCTTTTGAGTGACCCTCCCAAAAGCCAGTTGTCCATATATAGCATGACAGAACTTACTGGATCTGCAGCAAACTGGTAGGATAAGATTTTTAGTAAATACACTTGAAACTGATGAGGCTAAAAATGTAGGACCTGAAATTAATGCAGTCTATGTAACAATTGCGGTGGATGGCATGTACCCTGGGAGATTAAGCATGCTTCTGGGATATTAAACATGCCCCAAAAAGGAACTGGGAATGAGATGTGTTAAACTTTTTATTTATTTTTTTAAACCACAAGGGTGGAGGGACTGATTAGCCTGCCAGAGAGACTGGCAAGTACTGGGACTTGCATGTAGTTGCCATGCTTAGCAGAAAGTGCAGAGACAGAGAGTAGAGTGATTAGCTACGGGATACACATGGTATGAAAAGACACATTGTAACGATTAACAAATGATGATTTGGTATTTGATCTTGATATCCCAACTGCCCGATTGAACATGAAAAATAAAAAATACCAATATCTGATAGAAATATTTTTATGCTGTTAACATTTATCAAAATGTACTAACCAAAAAATGTTACAAGTCAGTGGGGAAAAGATTTCCAACCCACCTAATGTTATTTATCTAGAAAATAAAACACTAGACTGCCATGAATTTAGCAGTAAATTGCAAATTAAGGCATATCTCCAAAGTGCCCCTATTTTGGAGGACTGTCCTGGTTTGGAGCTGAATTCTTCTTTCCTTTTTTAGGAGCCCCATATTGTTTGTGTGTGAGTGTTTAAAAATAAAAAATAAAAAAAGTGCAGAGAGATTTAAAAACAGAGCTTAAGTTTTCATTTATATTGTGTAAAGATAGCTGACTTCTATTCTTGGCAGGTCTCCGTTCTTCAAATACACACATTGCAGATAGCAATTACAACAACAAAAAAACACTTTACTAGATAGTTACAAGGAGGTGAAAATATTGAGACCAGGATGCTTAGGTAAAACTTTCAGAGAGCATTCAAGAAGCCAAACCCTCATGAAAAAAAAAATACATAAAAAATAAACTATGCAAGAAATTTCTACATATTGTGTTTTCTAAAATTATATCTTGTTTTAAACCAACAGACTGAAATTTTGTCTATTCCAGAAAATGTGGAGTAGTGTTCCACTGTAGGCGGTGACCGGCAGACCCCAGGTATGTGATCAAACGGTTTGACTTACTGAAAGAGGGTGCCAGGCTACTCCTGGCATAACCACTACAACATGCTATATTGTTATGGTGAATAGGGTTTCTTGTCTAACTGTTAAAAGGAACAAAGTTTAGAAATAACAGCCTTTACACTTCAGCAAAAAGTGCAGGTTTCACATTTAAAAAAAACCCAAACAAAAAAACCCAAACACATGGACTTTCTCAACAGCTGAAGTCAGAAGTACTGCATAGATAACTTGCATCTTCCATGGCATAACCAAAAAAAATGCCAAACAAAAATGTAGTGTCTACTCAGTAGTGTCTACTCCTGACTACAGTTCACACAACTAACGTGTAGTTTCAATTTAATATGGGCTCATCTGTAGCTAGCTTCTCTATAACAATGCATGTACTTGACCCATGCTATTGGTATGTGCACATGTTCCCTAACTGCACTTTATTTTAAGACTTTAGACAAATAAGGTTGCCAGCATTTAATTTTTTTTGTGCTAGGCTGGGACATTAAGAGAGAAACAGGAAATATCACAAGAAGCTAGCAGTCAAGTTGTAGGATGTAATTTCCTCCTTGAGATCAAGAAATGCCTCATGGCACAGATCACAGAAGTTAAATTGTAGGTTGATAACATGAAGCTAAACTACTTGTAATTACACTAGGTCATAGTTTAGAAAAATAAAATAAGTAAAGCCCATTTTAAATGTGTTCTTACCATTTAAGCATCTCCTTCTATATTTATGGTATACTTGTTGTGTGAAGCCATTTTCCTTTAGAAGTTCGTGAGATGGATGTTGAAACTTTGGCAAAGAATGAGGGGTACAGCCATAGCTTTCTACAAGTGGAGTACCTTCTGAAGGCGATGCATTTGAGCTGCTAAAACAAAAAAATATAAGTGTGGAGCATTTCAATGGGGTTTACTTAAAGGGACACTAGTCACCAGAACAACTACAGCTTATTGAATTTGTTCTGGTGAGTAGAATCATTACTTTCAGGCTTTTTGCTGTAAACACTGTCTTTTGAGAGAAAATGCAGTGTTTACATTACAGCTTAGTGATAACTTAACTGGCTACTCCTTAGATGGCTGTTAGAGATCCTTCCTGGGCAGGGGAGGGCTGGCAGCCTTAGGCCTGGGGGGCAAAACCAGTCAAGTGGCCCATTGCACCACCAAATCAGTTCACCATCCATGGTTTTATAACGGATATTGATGTTATGCTAATCAGTAGCTCTTTGCCATACCCGCTCCTTCGTGGCTCTGACCTTATGTTGTTAGAGCGCAGGCTGAGAATCTCTGAGCCTGTGGTCTGACTCACTAACTGAGCGCCGGAACCACAAGCGAGAGGATATGATTTGACTGCACCTACTGCTGGTGCGCACCAGTGTACCACCAGCGAATCGTTTAGATTGAATATGCTGGTGTCCCCAACTTGTGAGTTGTGTTGGCCGCCGGGCGCCTCTGTTGTCATGGCATCCTGCGTGACCGCACAGCGTGCACACCCCAACGGCTGGACCTGCTGACATACACTGACGTTACTACTTAGACATCCCTCAATATTAATACAGACAGAGTAAACACCAATAAACTGTGCAAACAGAGCTGATCCCTCCCAATTTATAAAGATTTGCTTACTGGATTTGTTGTAAGATTAAATCATGCCTCCTCCTTCTCCCATGCGCTGCTCTGTAGGCTGGGAGGAAGTGAAGAGTAATCACAATCTCCTAGCACAGCGGCACCTGTGACTGCATGGGGAACAGCTGGATTTGCCGGCCCCCATGTGACATCACAATGCTCCACCTATATGAGCTGCCATACGAACTAACGCCAGTACTGCACACAGTGTGTGTTTACATTAAAAGGCTGAAGTGGTTCTGGGGACTATAGTGTCCCTTTAATGTGAAGTAAATTATAGATTAGGGTCACTAATAATTACTAGATTGCCTACTTACAACCAGATGAGGATGATGATGGGCTGCAGTTTGGCTCCACTGGTCTGGTGTAGAACAGGATCTCTGGAGGCTGTTTGCAACTGTGGTCACAAAATTCAATGTTCTGGGAGAATTGGAAGCAGCTCCATTTACACAGCTCAAGGTCTGTGCCCCAGAGCCAGATGGTGAGTATGCCCACAAGGCCCACTCATAAGTCCACTTATTTGTTCCACCCACCCATGAGTCTGCTCACAGGGAGTGGAGTGTGTAGGGGATGTGTTATGGGTTATTGTAGAGGTTCTAATATGTGTGCTTATGGTATGTAGTGTATAGGGATACCAGTTTGTGTAGGTGATGCAGTGTGTTTGTGTGTAAGGGATGTATTGTGTGTTTCTGGTTGTGTGTGTAAGGGATGCATTGCGTGAATCTGTTTGTATGCATAAGGGATGCATTGCATGAATATGTGTTTGTATGCATAAGAGATGCATTGCGTGAATCTGTGTTTGTATGCATAAGGGATGCATTGCGTGAATCTGTGTTTGTATGCATAAGGGATGCAAGGTGTGTGTCTGTATGTTTGTGCATTGAGTGTGTGTAAGATGCATTGTGTTTGTGTGTATGTAAGAAAAGCAGTGTGTGTGTGTAAGGGTTTGCATTGTGTGTTTCTGTGTATGTGTGTAAAGGATGCATTGTGTGTTTCTGTGTGTGTAAAGGAAGCATGTGTTTCTGTGTGTAGGGATGCATTGTGTGTGCGTAGAGTGAAAGAGCTCCCGGTCTTGCCCCCTGTCCTATAGAGCTATCCCTTAGAGCTCTCCCCTGCCCCTTAGTGGTCTCTCACACTCCCCCCGCGCTCTTCTTCCCTCCTTCTCCTCCTCCATGTGTCCTCCTCACCATCCCCCCTCCCTGTGTTCTTCTCAGTCCCCCCTCCTCCTTGTGTTCTTCTTACCCCCTTCTACCCCTTCCGTTACTCCCTCCACCCCACCCCCTCACCTCCCCAGTAGCGTGGCCGAGCTCCTCTCCCCATCCGTGGTGCCCGGCCGAAGGGATAGGAAGGTGCACACTGAGTGTGCACTTCCTGTCTGTCCGGCCGGTTACAGGAAACAGAAACTTCCTGTACCCAGCCGGACAGACAGGAGCTCGGCCAGCTACAGGAGAGGAGATGATGTGCTCCAGCCGCCTGAGGCTCTTAACAGAGTGCTCAAGCGGCTGCAGCATTAGGACCGGCCCTGCAGCGGCCGGTCTTAAAAGGATTTGGGGCGGCCTGGGGGGCAATTGCCTTCCTGCACCCCGGCCCAGCCCGCCCCTGTTCCTGGGCCATGGCTGCCTAAAATGCATCCAAACATTCAGTATCCCCTCCCTCTGCATGCAGATACTGAACTTTCCTCATAGAGATTCATTGATTCAATTCATCTCTATGATGAGATGCTGATTGGCCAGAGCTGTGTTTGAATCGTGCTGGCTCTGCCCCCGATTTGCCTCTGTCAGTCTCAGCCAATCCTATGGGGAAGCATTGTGACTGGATCAGGCCACCACTTCTGATGTCAGCAGGCAGTGGGCAGGTCTAAAGGAAACAGAGCCAGAGCTAGCAGCTCTTGAATACAATATTTTGCTATTTTTAGGGAGGAATGAGGGGACCAGGGTGGCAAGATTGTGGTTTTAACACTATAGGGTCAGGAATACATGTCTGTTTCTGACCCTATAGTGCTCCTTTAAGCTACTTGACATTTCAGTTGTTTAAAAGGAACTTTTTCAAGGTATTCCCAAACTGTACTTCACAAAAATAGTCAGATAAGCCGAACATTGAGGTCTGCCTTATCGCTATCCCCCACCCCCTTGTGTTACATTGTTGTTGTGGCAGGATAATGAATGTATGATCATATACTGTAACTAAATCCCCATTATATTACGATTCAGCACACACCCATTCACTATATACATAAAAGGTGGACTGTAAGGCCCTTAAAGGGACACCAATGTCACCTGAACAACTACAGCTTATTGAATATGTTCTGGTGAGTAGAATCATTCCCTTTAGGCTTTTTGCAGTAAACACTGTCTTGTCAGAGAAATTGCAGTGTTGACATTACAGCTTAGGGATAACGCCACTGGCCACTCCTCAGATGGCTGCTAGAGGTGCAGTGCTACACTGTGCATGGAGACATTGAACGTTCCTCATAGATATGCATTGATTCAAGAGGCTGATTGGCCAGGGCTATGTTTGGCTTGTGCTGGTTCTGCGTCCTTGACAGTCTCAGCCAATCCTATGGGGAAGCACTGTGATTGGCTTAGAGAACAACTTCTGATGCAAGGAAAGCCAGCAGATCAGGTTAGCGGCAGCAGCTGCAGACTAATACAAGTAAGATTTTACGATATTTAGTGAGGGCAAGGGGTCGGGAGCAGATGGTGGTTCCAACACTATAGGGTCAGGAATACAGGTTTGTGCTCCTGTCCCAATAGTGTTCCTTTCAAAACAACCCCAAACAGTACCTTCAGGCCGGAATACATAATCTGACCCAATTTCAGTTTCCATTGGCATCTAACAATCAGAGCCCCTGTCCTTCAGGCAATCCAAGTTATCGTATTGAGGGAAGGGCTGTAATGGGCAGACTAGATAGGTCGAATGGTTCTGATCTGCCATTCTATTTGGGGGTTAATGAACAGGTGCTGGGCACATCAGCACAAGCAATGTAAATAATAATAATAATAATAATAATATATAAATATATATATATATTTTTTTTTTTTTAGTTTTTATTTTTTATTTTTTTTATTTATTTTTTTACAGTCAGTACTAAATTGCGTAATGTGCAAATTACTGCTCAAATGTACAAACCAGTAAAAAAGGTCAGAATTTTGCTTGTTACCTTACAGAAGAGGTTCTAGGTCTGTGCTCCTTTGAGTCCATCACCCAACCAACGTGATACTCCAAAGGTGGATTAGAACTGTGTCGAGTTTTCCTTTTTCTTGGAGTCTGCAGTTAAAAATGATAAAATTTAGAAACCACCAGTTAACCAAACTATACAATCTTTACAAGGCATTGGTTTTTGTAAAGATAATACAAACTGAGAATTCACACCAAAAACAAAATGTACTGTATTTGCCACCAATGATTTCTACAATTTTGCCCCCCTTTTCTCCACAACACAGACTGACTTACTTGTAAGTAATGGCTCTCTGGAAGAGCTGTTTAGTAACTAGACTGGATATTATCCTACAAATTATGTATTTTTTATAAAATATTTTACCAGGAACGATACATTGAGATTTCTCTTGTTTTCAAGTATGTCCTGGGTCCACAAAACATTGCATTGGGGCGTGGCCTGGCAGCTCATGGACACGGACGTGTGAGCAGTTAGCTCCTACTAGGGTGCAAGGAAAACCGCGACTAGAAGAGTAATAACCACCCCAAACAGCTTTCATTAAACCCACAACACCATGTCCCAGAGAGCACAAAAAAAAACAAAAAAAAACACAAAGTTGCACCCAGCAGCACTTCAAATCTCCTCTAACTCCACAACGCAGCTGCGCACAAGATGGCGCCAGAGGTCCCGATTCACCCACAGCACGCTCAGATGGGAGCGACAGCACATCTATTTCAAATAGCAATGCAGCTCCTGCTTCAGAAACTGCTCTCCAACGCATGCTTCAAGAGCTACAACAGAACCTTCAAGCAGAATTTGCCAAACTGGCCCGAGATGTCCGCGCAGACGTTAAAGAGATAAGTGAATGCACCACCATACTAGAGGACAGAACAGAAATCATAGACGCACATAACTTACCAGCGACTTGTGAAACTACTGAAAACCGCCTAACCTTTCTGGAGGCTAAAATGGCGGACCACGAAGATCGCGACAGACGCAATAATAATATACGCCTACGCGGCATATCAGGAGATCAAACCCTCTGAACTGAGTGACTATGCAATAGGTTATTCAAGGCCCTCTGCCCAGGGATTAATGACGACAACCTCCGACTAGACTGCATTCACCGCCTGCCGCGGCCTAAATTTCTGGCGGTTACTACGCCTAGAGATGTAATCACACGCATCCACTACTTCACCTCCAAAGAAGCAATACTTCGAGCAGCGACGAACCCTGACAACATACCAGCTGAATTTCAAGGAGTAAAGCTGTTTGTTTATCTTTCTGCAAGAACCTTTGCGAAACGCAAAGCACTGACACCAATAACAAACACTATGAGAGGCAGACATCCTATACAAATGGGGATACCCCACACGCATCATAAAACAAAATGGCGTGGAACACTAGGTACAATCAGTGGAAGATGGAGCCCGACTGCTAAATGAATGGAACCTACACATCACCCTCCAAGACAAGACAGATCCAACACGCAGTTCTAACAAGTCGCCCACAAAAATCTCTAAAGACTGGTCCACTGGGACAAAACATAAATAACATAAGACTCACAACAACCCACTCCAATATAAAATCCTACCGCCTACATATGTGAGCATGTTCTGTTTATATTGGTCTTAAATGTTTATGCATTGTATCTGTTTGACAAATGGTTGTTAGAACACCTAGCATAACAGACGTGTAGCCAAGGGATCTAATCAAGTGTGGGGATGATAGAGTGGCTGGGACAAACTCACGCATTAAGGGCCTACAGGATGTCTTGGGTTCAAATTCCACCTATATGGGTAGTTAAACACCCGCAAAGATCACCCTCCCCATTTTGGCTCTATAGGGTTGTTAAAGATCTCACTTTGGTCGGATAAGAAGAAATCATGTTGCACAGCAAGAAGCACACTCACACTACACCCTTATGGCTCTAACGGTCACTTCACTCAACGTTAAAGGCTTAAACACACCACACAAAAGGAGACTGGCCCTAGAGGAAGCAAGAAAGATTAAAGCCACAGTGGCTTTCTTATAGGAAACCCACTTTCCAAACTCCAATATGCCCAAATTCGCATCGACATTACCTGATAGGCTTTCATACTGGCTACACTAAGAAGAAAAGATCAGTCTCAATCTTATTTAGTAAGGATGTAGCTTTTTCATTACATAAGAAGATTGGAGACAAGGAGGGATGCTTTCTTCTCATCCAATGCCTCAAACAATGACCCCTACACCTTTATAAAAGTTTACGGCCCACACAATAACCAGAAGACATATCTACACAATATCTTAACACTAGCAGACAAATACAAATTTGGGACCCTGATCATAGGGGGAGACAAACTTTATATTAGATGAGAAAATGGACACTTCCTCTAGCTCAAACATCACGCAAAAAACAAAAAATAAACACCAACTCCTCGAAAACCACCCGAACACAACTGATTAACTCAGGCTATGTGGACATATGTCTTACACCCCTCAGAAAGACTTCACCTTCCATTCACAAGCCCATAACTCCTACTCTAGGATAGATTCCTCATACAACACAATGATCCCTGGGGTACAATCCACTCATATTGGAATCATAACATGGTCGGATCATGCACCAATCACCCTTACACTAACAACTCAATTTCCTACTAAGGGACAGGGCTCTTGGCGCCTAAACAAGTCATTATTGCACAATCCCCAAATTGTTTTTGAACGTCCCCTAACCCGAAATCTTTTCAATAAAATACAAGTTGGAAAAAGACATTGCATTGATACATTATGGTACAATAAAATAAATACACAATACATCCAAAATTTAATAGAACAAGTATGAAATATGTAATCAACCATGACAGGTGCATTCTGTTTTGAGAAATGTAGAGAGTGATCTCAAAAGGATTTTAGGCTTGGGGAAGATTTGAAAATTCGTTCCATAATTGCAGTGCTCTTTAGGAAAAGAGGATCGGGACACTTTCTTTTTGTTTTGAGAGACTAAATAAAGTGCTGGTACTGGATCAGAGGTTATAGGAGGTGGGAACAGCCGGGGAGAGCACTCTGCTCAGGTAGGGTGGAAGCTTCTCAGAAAAAAACTCAAACACAAGGCTGGAAGGATGAAGAGTGTGTCTGGATTCCTGCGACAGCCAGTTTAGTTCTTTTAGCATGTCACAACGGTGGGTCATGTAGTTACATTGTAGCACAAAGCGGCAGAACGAGTTCTAAAACGTATTGAGTTTTGGGTTTGCGGTGCAGGTGCATATACTACATCCCAATAATCAATAATTTGCATCAGCATTTGCTGTACAATCTTTTCTTTTATTGAAGGGCTTAGGCAGGATTTGTTTCTGTACAGGGCACCTATTTTTAAATTAAGTTTAGATGCAAGTTTTTCTATGTGAGGGCCAAAAGATAGATTGGGGTCTAACAACATATCCAAGTATTTGAAAGAGTGGACTGCGGTCAGTGTGCCATTTGATTTTGTATTGATGTATAGATGGGAATTGTAAGAACAGTAAGAAAGAAACCTACTAAGTTTTACAATAATTATTTCATGATCTGGCTGTAGGGTCCAGTTACCCTAAGCAGACAGAGCAACCCTTACCAAGATTTTGGTTTCTTATCACCTCTCTGAAGCAGGCGCAGGCAAGCTTTGGCACTCCAAATGTGGACTACATCTCACCGATGCTTTGCCATCATTATGGCTCTAAGAGTATTATGGGAGATTCAGTCCAATACCTGTCAGTGCCAAAGGTTGCCGACACCTGCCCTAAAATATCTCCCCCCACCAACCACGACTGACCCAATACTCATTTTCTCCTGTAAGAAAATGTAGACAATGTAATAAGTGTCCACTTGACAAGAATAAAACCCCTGCAAACTTTTCTTTAAAAATATAAAATTAAAAAAACAAAAACAAAAACACTTTAAGGGAACAGTCAAGGCACCAAATTGATTGACCCATCACATGCATGTGAAATCTCATTGAACAGCATTGTAAGAAGAATTCCTTGAGTGCACAATGTCCAAAACAGATGGGAAAGTTTATGTTTAATGGACAAAAAGGGAGAACATACAGTAGCTGTAGGTAGATTCAACTGAAAGCCAAGAATATGAATTAAATATTTTTTTGGGGGGGGGATATATCTAATAAAATGTAGAGAGTGTTCGTAAATCACATATTGTTTTACCTGTACATCAATAGACTGTGGTTCTTTTACTACAGGGTAAAATCTAGGTGTTTTGCTGGGATCCTGAAGGCGTGGTGTACGAGGAGTTTTTGGGGTCCTTGCTGGACAGTCTCTTGACACCTCTGGAACATCTGAGATAAGACAAAATACAAACATACCAAATATAGCACCAAAAGGTTGTATGAAGCCAACAAGGCTACAGAAAGTTTCTGGGCATCATAAAAACCTCTACATGTTGTATGTTAAGAACACACTGCCAGCTTAAAAATACAACCAATCCTGCAGTGAGGTAATTTAAAGTCACTCCAGACACCAATACAACCAATGCATTTAATTTTGGCCTCATTAATATGTTTTTGCACACACAAATCTTTAATTTTAACAAAAAACACAGAAGTGCCCCACAGAACACAAAAACACTGTGGTAATGGCTGCAAGTAAAGTACCTTGCTGGAAGTTAGGTATGTTGGGTGGAGATTGCTCAAGATTCTGCTCAAACTGGGGGCTTGGGGAAAAATGCTGAAATTCCTCTTTGCTGATCAGGTTCAATTTTCTAAAGTTTTCTATTTCCTGTTGATTAAAAAGAATGGAAGGTATGAAAGATGTGCAGTTAATGTGAAGATAGAGGTTGCTATCCAAAGTGTAACCTAAGAGCTGGGCTATCAGAGCCAGGGCAAGTGGAGTATCACTAGAGTGGCTTTAGGCTAGGTATGCAACTCCTCTGAATGCCATCAAGGAAGTAGATAAAGTGGCTCTCACTTCACAAGTTTGGTTCATAAAAAACAGATCATTTTAGTCCCTAGGTTTCACCATAACCACTACAGCATGCTTGGTTATAGTGCTTCGTGTGTTCCTTTAGATCGATTTGGTTGCCATATGGTTTGCAAATTTAACCTAAATAGCCAGACTAGTTTCACACAGTCAACTTTCATTTGTTACTTGCAAAATACCATAACCTAAAGTCACTCAAGTGACTAGGCCTTTGCTTTAGTTTTAGGGGGGAAATAAGAAATTAGTACCACAGTTATGCACACTGAAATATACCTTTGAAGTTAGATAGTCCTGACCACCTTCAGTCATCCACAGGTCCTGTTCGTAATAATACAGACCGTCATTAATAACCTTTGCAAGCTCAGATGTCATTTTTGCACGAGAAACATGATTGCCTGTACGGTCTCCGCTAGGATGCTTTTTCAGGTGAGGAGGAGTTTGTGTCACGATTATGATTTTGTCAAGGTCTTTATCATCAATTTCATAATCCGAGTCATCAGACCAGTCAGTGAAGGTGTTTTTGCGACCTTGCATATGCTCCATCTCTTCATCAAACATGAAATCCAGTTCTTCTGGCTCTGGTTCTTGAGCTTCTGTGGGTTTTGGGGTTACTGAAGGGGATTTTATCACATTCTGCATTGAGAAAAAGGATAAGAAATTAAATTTTAAAAAATCCAAAGTAAACCATTAAGACACCACAGATTTCATTTTTTGGACTTGAAAAGGTTCAAAGGGTTTCCTAACCGTTTCTTAGGGAGACCACTTCATCACTCTTTACAAGGCTCGTTGAAAGAGGGAGTGTGCAAAAACTGTTGCATATCCAAGATATTTAAAACACCCATTTCCAAACTTGGTTTTAAAGTACCACTTCAGCTCAATGAAGTGGTCTGGGTGCCAGGTCCCTCTAGTTTTAACCCTGCAGCTGAAAACATAGCAGTTTCAGTATCTCTGAGGGTTAATCCAGCCTTTAGTGGCGGTCTCACAGACAGCCGCTAGATGCGCTTCCGCGATGCTCACTGAAAATCAGTGAGAAGACGCTGGATGTCCATAGGAGAGCATTGAGTAATGCTTTCATATGGGCGGTTTGAATGCACACGCAGCTCTTGTTGCGCATTCAGAGCAGCCGTCGGCAGGGGTGGAGAGTTCCCCAGCGCAGAGGGAGCCGGGCGCTGGAGAAACAAGTGGCTGAATGGGTTTTAACCCCTTCAGCCCAGCGGGAGGGGGGCCTAATGACCCTATAGAGTTGGGAAAACTTTTTCCCCCGGCACTATAGTGGTCCTTTAAACAACTAAATTAAATTAAAAAAAAAAAACCTCTTAATTAACAATAATGCAGTAAAATAAGGTTTGGCAAATTTAACAGAAAAGGAGATCTAAAGTTTCACACCAATGAAAAAGTAATTTTACACTGACAACTACTACAAATATAAGTTTAATACTCCAGTATAAATTGATCACCTCTAAAATTCTTCAGATCTTTCCAAAATTGCCATTATTGCCCCCTCTCAAAAATACAGATTAAAACAATCTACTACTCCTCCCCTTCCTTCCTCCCCCTTACCCCACCACCCCTTCCATTTTCATTTCCACATTTTGTCATACTATGGCCAAATTTTCTTCTTAAAAAGGTTGACTCAATCTGAGCATGCGTATTTAAGTTGGCTGGCCAAAATAAATTGGTTCTCCTATAGATACAAAATAAGTTTGCTTTGTTTTAAGATGAAAGGCCAAAGTCAATTTGAAACATCATGGTGTTGCATATGATCCTATCATGGGCTTATTTTTCTTTCCTCAAAGATAGCAGAGACTTTATTCATCAGAATATGCCAGATAGTCCAAAAAAATTAAAATTTATATAATTTTTAACAAGGGGGATGGGGAAAAAGCCTCTCAATGTATTACTTTTGGTTTGACAGAACTTCCACGATGTCTTCTTTTAACCTCTATCCATGGCTCAGAATCCAGCTCTGGTAAACTTGCCGATAGGCCTTTAGACATTGTTCGTAAGTTGCTTGGCTCTTTTGCTCCAACTGGAGCTACAGCATTTCCTTTCCGCTGGGAATTCTGTTTGGTTTCTAGGAAAACAAAGTAAGCAATGCATTAGTGAATGTAAAGTGAAACTTACAAGCAGAGTGTGCATACTAGAAGCCAGGAAATCAGACGCTACAGCTGGCTAACCTGTATATGGAAAGTTTTCAGAGTCAACTCAAGCACCCTCCAATGTGACCAACATGGCAAAGAGCTGGCATAGAAGTGGCAAACCAACTCACCAACCGTTCTTCCGTGGCTTTTTTCAGACAAAAGGGCACAAGTTTTAGTGGATTGTTCTTTTTAAATTTATTTCTAAAACATACTTGTGGGAAACGTGTGATATTTATCAGAAAGCATTACAAAACATTGTTAACATGGAAACTAACCTCTCTCTGCTCTATTAAGAGCTTAATTGATAACTTGCAACTTAAAGGGACTCTATAGGAACCCAAACCACATCATCTTAATGGAGTGGTCTGGGTGCCATGCCATAGTTTTATAACTACAACTGAAAACCACAGTTTTGTATGAATGACCAGGTTTACACTGCAGGGTTAACACCTCTAGTGACCAACTTCCACCCAGCTAGTTATCAGAGTTGATTGGCACAGTGGCATTTTGCCATGCATGCACACTATCCAGATATTGCTTTTCTAAGGGAAAACATTGGATTGGCTGAGATAAAACTGATATCAAAAGGAGCTCAGCCATGGGGAAAAAAATACAAATTAAATAAACTGCGGTGAGGGAAAAAGAAGTAAACCATCTTGACATGGGAAATGTGATCATCATCTCAAGGGACAATGCCAGACCCACCTACCTGTCTGAAACTTGAGAGCCTTTCCAGGAATGAACTCTGGACAGTTGAGAAGTCTAGAAAAGTCTGTGTGTGTAGAGTCGAGTGTTGGAGTACCAGGTATAGGCCATTTTTCTGGATCCACCCTTTTCCTTATCATTTGATCTACTATTTCCACTTCTGTACTATCTTTTAAAGCCTGCAACAAACATGAGTCGCACAATTCATAACTTCATGCAACCCGCAGTATGACTGACTATACTATGAAAATATAGACCATAAAAAAAATGGGGGTATGCATTATATTAATACAAGAAAACTGAATTTTTAATACAATAATAAAGTTGGGAACGTTTGGTTGCATCATTAAAAATAAACACAGATAAAAATAAATCCTGCTTTATCCATATTGTAAGCCTTATAATTACATTCTGGATTTTAGGTTTGCTGTAGAGGTTTAAGAAGTGTTTTGTTTTTGGTACTTTTAACTAGGGATCGACCGATATTGATTTTTTTAGAGCAGATACCGATAATCTAAAAAATTTAACTATTTCTAAAGGTAAATGCACAAAATATACATGCCACGTGTAGTGGATGCAGTGCGTTTAGACAGGGGAGCTGTGTGTGTTTGTGCGCGTGTGTGTGTGTGTTTTTGTAGGAATGTAAATTGTGTAAAATGGGGGGCATTTATTTTATTTTTTAAATATTTAAATGTTTTATTTTTTAGTGATCCCCTCCCTGCTTTTTACCAGAGAGGGGGGCTATGGCATTTCCTGGTGATCTGGTGGCATGGACTGTACAGTGAGGGGCAGCAGCAAGCTCTTACCTTTCCAGCAGCTCCCTTTAGCTCCCCTGTGTAAATCTCACGGCCTGCGTGTGGAGCAGTGGAACTCGCGAGATTTACACAGGAGAGCTGAAGGGAGCTGCTTGGAAGGTAAGAGCTTGTAACGGGCCTGGTGGTCCTGGTATGCAATATCTTTATTGGCATACCGATCTTGCCGAAAATACAGAATATCGGCCGATATTGGCCAGACCGATAATCGGTCGATCCCTACTTTTAATCCTCATCATGTAAGTGTCATCTAGCCAAGAAACAGGCCTTAATGCTGTGCATGATGTCCAGCATCTTGCAAATCCCCATAGGAAAGCATTGATTTAATGCTTTCCTATGGGGAGGCCAAAAGCTCACTCGTCTCACATGCGCATTAGGTTCTGCCTTGCGCTGACGTCTGAGGAGGCAGAGCTGGACCCAGTGCCGAATAATGCAAGTGTTTAACACTCATTGTTGTTTTGGGTGCATGGGGTCAGAGGGATACTATACTGCTAGGAACACAGTTTTTTATTCCAGACACTAGTGTTCCTTTAAAAAAAAAAAAACACATGTACAAAAAATAGAAATAAAATTAAAGTACTAGGACATTACTTCACAAATCATATTAACATCCATGGTCAGTGATTGCACTCTATGAAAGCTGGCAATAAGGCAAATGGGCAAAAAGCCCTGAGGATCCATTTTTCTCCTGAGGAAGAAGTCTTTTTCCAGATTCTCCAAGCTGAAGTAATACTCGCTAAAATAAATTAATAAAGCAGAATTAAATTAATGATGGTATGCTGATCCATAGGATTCTATACAAGAATGATTGACCACTGCAGACTGGAACGAATATAAAATACTTACATCTGGCGTTTAAGGTATTCCTTAAGTAAGGTTTCATCGACTGAATACACATGAACCCTTTTCCCATCATCATAATAATACATCATGTTGTTGGAACTTTCAAGCCCAAACTGGTAAGAAGCATTATGTTCATGGTAACCCTCTGCCCCATACGAATATCCAGAGCGAACTATTTGGGGAGAAAACCATTAAGGAGTCTGGTAAATATCAAAATCTGTATGGAACATGCAGGACTACTTATGCAAAGAGAAAAATAAATTTACACACAGCAACAAGTCATAGAATTCAAGCAGATCAACAGGATGTAAGGAAGCCACTGTATCACTTATCTATATAAATTTGATTGAGAGGTAAACACTTTGATTTACCAATGTATTCGTTAATTTTGGTTCAATATGTTAGTGTTTTGTATTACAAGAAAAAATAAATCATATAGTGATTACAGATAAAATGGACTGGTTAGGATTTCCTAAACCTAGAGTTGTAGTATTCAATTAAAAAAAGGAACCAACTCTGGCTTCGGGACTGGCTTTATTGATTAAAGGAACACTAAACACCAAAACAAGTTTCTTAATTTAGTGATTTGGCATATAGATCATACCCCTGCAGTCTAATCTCTTAACTTTATTCCATTTAGGCGTTAAATCACTTTGTGTAGGTCACATGAAGGGAAGTTGTTGCTAGGAAATAGATCAGCAGCAATATACACTAGAGTGTGAATTCAAAGTGAATTTCATATTGAAGGCCAACGTAGCTGAATACCTGACATAGAAAAGGTTTCCAATTTGGCTACTTTGGCCTAACATTTGAAATGGACTTTAGATTTTCACTTTTGTTAAAAATCATGATATTGTCTAAACATCTTATGGCATAGTGTGTTTTTTCCTGTTCAGAATTCCTTATGTCCTGCTCGGTTAGTAGCAATGTCAAAGAATTGAGTCGTGAGACTGCAGGGGCATGATCTACGCAACAAAACGCTTCATTCAGCTAAAGTTGTTTTGGTGCTTAGAGTATCCCTTTAAATTTCCTCTGAAATAGACAGTGTTGTTTCTAAACAAACCTGAATTATAATTATAGAAAACCTAAAAAAAAAAAAAAAAAAAAACAACCACAACAACTTTCCACACCTTCAGGCAATCTGAAGTTTTCTGACATGCTCACTTTGCATTATAGTTACAGCTCAGAGAACTGTATGATTGCGGACAAAGCATGTTTTCACAACTGGTCAACGTATTTCAATGAGAAACCTCTGTTCGTACAATAACCAGCACAGCTGGGACAGATCTGTGGCTGGACATAAAGAATAGTATCTTAGCTAAAGAAACTTGTCGTACAGTTCATGTAATACAGATTTTTTAAAAGAAACATTCCAATGGGATTTTTTCTCTTTTCACACTTTAATAGAGTGACAGGCATGTAGGGGCATAGCTAAGTAACAAAAATCTGGGGCTTAACCACAAAAGAAATCATTTACAGCGTCTACACTAAGATAGATATACGTAAAAAAATTCTCCCTAGGATCTCAATAAAAAAAGCCAGAAACAAGCACATGTTGTACAGCTAGGTATTTAATGCGGGGCAGGAGGGGCCTTTACCTATAGGCCTCTGTTCAGTATTAAGAATCAGCAGTTCTGCTGTAGGATGTCTAATACAAGCAAGGCCCTTTTAGATTAAACTTGCACAAAGCAAATCCAGCCTTGTGGGGGGACAGTGGGGGGGAATAAGAGACACCCCCAACCAATATGCCCCCGTCGTCTCCAACTTAAGACATCCAGGGCTACAGAGCTTTGTCGGCTGCTTCTGCACTCAACTAGCCACCATACTAATGCCTTTTCATACATTTATTGTTGCACTTTCATTGAGGGTATGTGTAAAACCAGAAACAAATGCCCAATAGACAGCCAGGATGGTGTTTATGAAATAAATTCTAAAGTTACAATTTCAAATAGAAATCATTTTGAAAACCGATTAAGAGCTGTTCCTCCAACAAAGCAACACACACACACACGCTTGGAGTGTCCCTTATTAATAACATTTATTCCTAATGCTACAGTGTTCGGCCTATGAAGGCATCCATTGCACCTTGCAATGGATTAAAAGGCAAGTTACTTGCATCACATGGCATGCTTTCTCTGTGCTGAAACGGACTTCCTCGCCAAGATCAGTCTATGATTTCAGCCAAACAAATGCTTCCCTACAGGGAAGCATTGGGGAGACTAGAACGCAAGCATGGCGACAGACACAGGAATCAACTTGATCTACCAGAGTTAGATGTTTTAGATGACTGCAGCCCTACAAGTTTGATTACATAGTCGTGAAGTCACATTAGATATTTAAAATGACTAATTGGATGAAAAACCAAAATATTTCCACTTTGCATGTCTTTCGACAGCAAAATGTATGAACTGATAACTATGTGCTTGTGATGTAAAGCTAAAAAGAAACCTACAGTATGGCCTTCCTCTTCCACGGCCTCTTCCTCTCCCTCGACCTCTGAACCTTGAGAATCCTCTGACACCACTTCCTTCACTTCGTGTACTCGAGACTTCATCCAAATCATCTCTCTTTTCATGGTGCCATCCTTAATCAATGAAACAGATTGAGATTTAAGAGTCAGATAGTTTCACATTTTGTTTTTTATATTTGTTCATTAACTAGAATAGGATTGTCTTGCTTTTAACCAATACTAGATGTCAAATCACCCTGCTGTTTGCATTTAGGGGAATTATTTACTGAACTATTGTTATTCATGTAATCCACCTGAAATAAAGTTAATAGGTAGGACTAGGGAACACATAGCTCTGCAGGTTGACTCTTATAAGAATGCTCAGCTTTGTGGATTAAAATGTGGGATGGGGGAAAAAACTTTATATTAGGTTTTCAAGCCTTTAAAATTTGATGAAAACCTGCTATTCAAGCCAGTGCTACAAAGCTTGTTTTTTTATGGTCACTGGTAAATTTTTAAGCATTGAAATGGATTATTTTTTTTTTTTTTCAATTTGACAATTTTTATTGTTAATAAGAACAGGGGGGGGGGGGTACAGAAGAGAAGAGGGAGGGGGGGTACAGAAGAGAAGAGGGAGGGGGGGGGGGTTTCCGTGTTACAGTATATGACACTCGGTACAAGGCGACATAGCGTAGTAGCATAGTAGCTTGGTAAAACAGTAATGTTTGGACAGTGGTGTTAATAACATTGTTGTTAAAAGTAAGCCGCACAAAATTGTTTAGTGTAATTCTAGTCAATGCGCCCACACATGGGCTGGGGAGATCTGTGTAACTTGGAGTATACTTCCCCATGCGTAGCCTAATCCGATGCTCTTTTGCTTTGCGAACACAGTGTGTCAATACAATGCATACATGTTGCTATGGTACAGGAATGAATCACCTTACTCAGGGTTTGCCAATCTCCACGCGTCCCACACATCCCATGCTGTCGTCCCTGTACGGGTGGGTGGGCATATATTCGTGAAGCAACGCTCATAGAGCCTCTGCTCAGCTATTTCTGAGAGTACGTTTTGTATCTTAGGAGTGGTTGGGGATTTCCAGGCCCGCGCTATAAGGCGTTGAGCCGTTAGTGTTGTGTGGAAAATTCGTTTTTGGAGGTACTTAGGGGTGTGGGGGGGGGGAGTGTGTAGTAGCAGGTACGTGAGCAGGTCAAGGGGCAGTTTAAGTTTCGTGAGGTCTTGTAAGAAGGAGTGCACTGCTTCCCAAAAGGGTTTTATCAGTGAGCACGTCCACCAGATATGTAAAACTGATCCGGTGTGTTCCCGACATCTCCAGCAGGTGGATGAAGCGGCGGGGTACATTTTAGAAAGCCGCTCCGGGACCATGTACCATCTGTAAATCATTTTTTTGTTCTGTTCCAGTAACGGTGCTGATTTAAGGAGGGTTTTGGGTGTGGTGGATATAGTGTTCCACTCTGTGTGTGAGCTCAATGGCCAGATCTTCTGCCCATTGTCTAGCTGGCGTGGCCTCAGAGAGGTGTGAAGTCTAGTAGCAGTTGGTAACACGTGGAGATTGGCTTACATAGTGGGGGTAGTTTTTTATTTATACACATTTTTTCCCATGTTGTAAGTTGGTCGGTGGCTGTTTGGCTGGGCGGTACCTGTGTAGCTTGTTTGTGCAGTAAAGAATGAAGTTGTCTGTAGGAAAATTGAGATGTCAGGGGGACACCGTGGAGTGAGTGTAGGGTGTGAAAGTCTAGGAGCTTTGAGTTAGCGTGAAATTGGCCTAAGTGCTGGAGCCCCTTCTCCTGCCACAGTTTAGCGTAGAAGGTGGGAATGCAGTATGTAAGAGCCGCTGTCGGTGTGGCTAGGGGCAGAGGGCATCTGTAGGTCCGTTTACGTCTGTGGGTGTCCCAGACTCGTATGAGTAGGGCGAGTTGGGGAGGGATATCTTTTAGGGGGGGGGGGCGAAGCTGTTGCGGGAGCCATAGTATGTGGGTGATGTCATACGGAGTCATCATGAGCTTCTCAAGCCTGACCCATTGCGGGGGGCTTTGGTCAACAAAATGGGGAATGGCTGCTGCTAATATGGATGCGTGGTAGTAGGTACGCACGTCAGGGACTGCTAAGCCTCCTGCTCTAGCTGGGGCTCGTAGGAGCTTCATTGAGATGCGGGGTTTACCCTTGTTCCAGATGAAGTTGGTGATATCGCTCTATCGCTTTAAAATAGGATTGTGGCATTGGTAATGGGAGGTTCCGAAACATGTATTGTAACCTGGGGAGTATGGACATCTTAATCGCCACAATTCTCTCAGTCCAAGTCAGGAAGAGGGATCCCCATTTTGTCAGGGTTTGTTTACACTCTGTCCAGACCCTGATATAGTTGGCTGCGCTCAGATCAGCGCGGCGTCTGGAGAACATAATACCTAGGTATTTGATGTTATCCCGCCTCCATTCAAAAGGGTATGTCATGCGTAGTGTTTCCGTCACTTGGGGGGGTAGGCCAATTCCCAGGGCTTGGGTTTTTGTGGTGTTCAGTGCGTAGTAGGAGCATTGGCCATATTTCTTGATGATGTGCATAATTACAGGGATCGTGGTCATGGGATCGGTGACAAAGGAGGATATCATCCGCGAAGGCGCTAACTTTATAATCTGTTCCCTTGATTTGGATCCCTTTGACGTCTGGGTGGTTTCGGATGGTTTGCAGGAGGGGTTCTAACGCCAGCACGTACAGCAGGGGGGATAGGGGGCACCCCTGCCTCGTTCCATTGGACAACTGAAACGGGTCAGACATAAAGCCTGCCTGTAGTACCTGGGCTGTCGGACCCGCATACAGAGCAAAAATGTGTTACTCAATCTGGGGGGGGAACCCATAGGCTCTCAAAGCTTGTTGCAGGAAGGGCCAGCTGAGGCGGTCAAAAGCTTTTTCGGCGTCGAGTGCCAGTAATAGACCGCCTCCTCTGGTCCCCCTGAGGTAATCCAGGATCAGCGACAGTTTCCTGGTATTATCTGTTCCCTGTCTTCCTTGTATGAACCCTGTCTGGTCATCCCCAATAAGGGATGGCAGGACCCTATTTAGTCTATTCGTTAGGATCTTCGCATAGATCTTTGCATCTGTGTTTAGAAGCGATATAGGGCGGTAATTTTTACAGGTGTCCGGGGGTTTATCGGGTTTCGGGATGGTTACTATGGTAGCCCGGAGCATCTCTGGTGGGAGCGCGCCCGTGGCAGTTGCCCTACGGTACACTTTTAGCAGGTGGGGGCCCAGGACATGCGCAAATTTTTTATAGTAGGCGTTTGGGAGCCCATCTGCTCCTGGTGACTTCCCTTGTGGCAATTTGGCGATCGTTTCAAGCACCTCTGTGAGCTCAATGGGCCTGATTAGTGCTTCTGCCTGTGCGCTCGTTATTTGGGGGAGTTTGGCTTGGGTTAAAAATTGGGTTATGTCGTCTAAGCTAGCATTGTGAGTGCTGCCCTCCTCCTTTAGGTTGTAAAGTTTAGAGTAGAAATGAGCGAATTCCTGGCTAATATCCATGGGGGTAACCTTCTTTAGTCCGTCACCTTAAACCACCTAGGCTATCTTGGAGCTAGAGCATTTATTTCGTAGCCTGGCGGCTAAGTATTTAGTGGCTTTCCCACTATTGTGGTATACATTGGCTCTCAGTTTGTGGAGCATGCGCTTGTTTTTTTCTGTATTCAGCTCTTGCATTCGTGCGTAAAGCACTCTGAGCTGTTTCGCTAGGTCAGGGGTGGGCTTAGATTTGTTCTGCCTAGAGATTATAGCTATTTGCCTATGGCAATCAAGGAGGCCGGACGTATTTTGCTTCTTTAGGAAGGCGGCTCGTCTCAAGAAAAGCCCCCGTACTACTGCTTTATGCGCCGACCAAACCGTGTAGTCTGAGACCTCACCTGTCGCGTTCAGCGCAAAGTATGCTTGGAGTTCTTCTCTTATGTGTTCCGCAAAGGGTGCATTGGACAGCATCGAATTGTTTAGGCGCCAGGACCCCCGGCCCCGAAATTGGAAAGTGTCTAGTAAGTTTAGATAGACGGGACCGTGGTCTGACCAGGATATTTCCCCTATGGTGCACTGCATGAGTTGCGGCAGTAGTGTCCTGTGTAGGAGAAAGGTGTCTATGCGCGTGTATGTATTGTGGACTCTGGAGTGAAAAGTGTAATCCCTGTCTGTCGGGTGCATGGTCCTCCAGGCGTCTTATAAGTCGTATTGGTCAAGGAGTTTGGAGAGTGCTTTACACGATGTGTCTAGTCTCCGTTTGTTTGCGCCCGTGGGGGTTGCAGTAGTGTCTAGCCCTAGCGATTGTATGCAGTTAAAGTCTCCACAGAGTATCAGGTCCCCTATCCTATAATCTTCGATTTTGCGCAGGAGGGAAGATAGAAAGTGGCGTGGTCGGTCGTTGGGCAGGTACGCTGCCACCAGCGTCAGTTGTGCATCGTTGAAACGGCCCACCAGTATAACATATCTCCCTCTGGGTCTATGTACTGTCGTTGTGGAGTGTAGGCTACATCTTTGTGGATAAAGATCGATACTCCCTTGGATTTTGTGGCAGATAGAGAGTGAACTTGCATGGGGAATTGTCTAGTAAAGATAGCTGGGGAGTGGGTACGCTTGAAATGGGTCTCTTGTATGCAAGCTACGTCTATACCATTGGTTGTAAGGTCTTGTATGCAAGCTACGTCTATACCATTGGTTGTAAGGTCTTTAAGAAGGAGTCTGCGCTTGCCTGGGGAGTTCAAGCCATTCACATTATATGAGACTAGTTTCATACTTAAGTATTTTGTGGGCAGGTACTCTAATGGTAGTAATACCTATGTTTGCTACTAAAGCAGTGCTGGGCACAGTACGGTCAAATAGGCGTATTGGTAGAGGCTGCGATGTATAGTTTTCCTGGAGGGTGGGTTTCGAGGGGGACCCGTTGGTGGCCCCGAGTATGTTTGGGTGGGAGGGGATAAACAGGGGGGTAACTAGGGGGGGGAGACAAACACGTGGGCAACCAGCCCTATCTTGCTTCCAGCTAGGAAGCCAAAATGCCCCGAGGAGAGCTCGGGCGCATGTAGTTGGGGTCATGGGGGTGAGCGTCCTCTTTGAGGTGGTGGCGGCTCACAGTGGTGGCGGCAAGGAGCGTTGCCATGCTAAAGATGGAAGGTGAGTAGTAGGCATGAGGGGTTGTACCTCCTTTAAAGCTTCGGGCAGTGTGGGGGAGGAGGGTGAGCTCACAGTACTCCCCGAGTCTCATCTGCACCGGCAGGAGGTTCAATATATGGAACACATGGAAGAGTGCTACCCATGAACTGTGGGGGGTGGGGGGGGGGGGAAGGGGCGTCAGCACCCCCATGAGTTCATAACCAAACATCTGAACAACATTTAAACCAAAATATGCATTGTAATACACTGAGGGGAGGTGGGTGACCACTTAAGAGGTCAAAGATTTTACCGCAGTCCTTGGAGATGGCATTCCCCTCATGTATCAGTTCACAGTCCACTCCGGGGAAAGTCTTGGGACCTTGGAAGGGAGATGTCGGTGCACCTCAGGCATTTGGAGGCCCCAGGATTGTAGCTTGGCGATTCCTAGTTCCAGCGTCGGAATGGCGTGTAGGGCATCTCTGTAGTGAATCAGGAGCTTGGCGGGGTAACCCCATCGGTAAGCGATGTTGTGGTCTCTCAGTGTGGTTGTCACTGGGGTTAGGTTCTTCCTGAATTGTAGCATCGCTGCAGATAAGTCTGCAAAGAGTTTGATTCGGCTGTAGGGGTCTGGCAAGCCTGAGGCCCTACTGGCTTTCATCAGCTGCTCTTTGGTGTGGTAGAAATGCACTCTGGCAATGACATCTCTCTCGGTGGTTGGAGGGAGGTGCTTTGGGCGTCTTAGCCTGTGTGCCCGATCCACTATAAGCTGATCCGGGTGTATTGTGTGAGTGAGGGCTTGGAACAGATTCGTCAGGTAGTTTTCTAATTCTTTTGGGGCAACTGTCTCTGGAATACCCCTTATACGTATATTGTTTCTCCTGGATCTGTCTGCTAGTTTAAGTTGGTAGCTAGTGAGGGAGTTCTCAAAGCCCTGCACCCTGTCAGCTAGGCTATTATGGGCCACTGCAAATTCATCCATCTTATGTTCTAAGTGGGAGGTGCGCTGGCCTACCTCAGTGATATCCTTATGGAGGTCTGCTGCCAAGGTTTGCAATTGGGTTTTCATGCTATTCTGCAGCTTGTCTGAGAGCTCAGCAAACATAAGCCGCATGGTGCCGATCGTTAGGGGTCAGTCGTCTGCCGCTGAGGATGGTGAAGCTGGCGGTGACACTGAGCCGTCTCGTGAGTCTCGCGCGGCGCCATCTTTGGTCAGGCCGCGTCCGTCCCACGCTTTTGTTTTGGCGGTTCTCGCCAGAAAGAAGGACTCCCGGTCCGATTTGGCGGCCTTGCCCTTCTGCCTCTGTGACATGGTGGAGCGAGGAGTGATGGTTAGTGCTCGTTAGGTCGCTTATTTTGCTCCAAAGTGCCGAAACCCGCGGGAGCTTCAGGAGTGTGCGTCCATTCAGCTCCGGCACCTGGCCACGCCCCCCGAAATGGATTATTTTTAATCAGCATGATATAGGAATCAAGAGAACAAAAGGGACGCACAAGCCAGTTTATTGATATTGTAATAATTAAAAAGGTACCAAAATTTTTTTCTTCTTTTTTTTTTAAAAACCAAGTCCAAAAAAGAAGGATATTGATACTTTAGAGAGCTCCGAGAAGGGCTACTAAACTGGTTCACGGATTACAGTATAAAAATAAATAAACTTACCAGGAAAGGTTTAAGGATCTTAACATTTATAGCTTAGAGGAAAGACAAGACAGGGGGGATATGATAGAAATATTTAAATATATAAAGGGAATCAGGGTAAAGGAGGAGACTATTTAAAAGAAGAATAACTATAACAAGAGGACAGTCTTAAATTAGAGTGGCAAAGGTTTAAAAATAATATCGGGGGGGCGGGGCCTGTCCGCCGGCGGGATCAGACGTGCTGTCTGAGCTCCCGCTCCGGGATCTGAAAATCGGAGCTAGCTGAAGGCCAACCGGGAATATTGACCCACAACGGGGGGGGTGGCCTGAGCAACTGCCCTGGCGCGCAATTTCCACTGGACAGCACCCCACAGGAGGGCCGCAAGATGGCCACCACGCGCGTGAACAGCCAGTTTGACCGAGAGGTTTGAACCTGGGCAGAAAGCCAACAGGGACTTGGCCCCAAAGCATCGACAGATGCACCAAGAGGCCCCACAGCAACAGACTAAACTCAGGATTCCTACCCAGCAGCAGCAGCCCGGAGCTCCAGCAACAAGGAAGGCCCCAAAAAGACTTCTCCCCAAGGCTGGACTGTGCACTGCCCCTTGAAGGCAAAGGCTAAGCCGAACTGACCAGTGGAAACTCTTGGTGACTAATGACCAACTATTTTCCCTTACGTGCTATGTTTGTTTCCCATTATTTACCTTGTCATACGATTATACCAACAGCCCTGATAGCCAACATCCCTTTCTAAGCTCTAGATTATTAATGCCTTTCTTCACCTTTCCAAGGGGACCTCCTGGGGGGCTAAAGTTGACAGGCCAGCAATAGGTCTTATCTTTGTAATATTGTTACCTCGCGGCGGCTCTAGACTACTGTAATATATAGACCCACGAGTGGCCTGCTCAGACCTAGTAAGCGACAGGAAAATATATATTGGCCCCTCGCAGTTGATTTAGCCGGTTTTGAATTCTTGATTAGCATTAACCATTAAGTGTCTGAACCCATACATGTCTTGTGAATGCCTTACTATAAGCTTCGATCCACAGATACTACCTGCGACTAATACCTCACCTATTAACTACAAAATTGTGCAAGGATTAACTTATACTCCACTGTTCTAAAAGTTTGTGAAGCATGAGGAATGCCGTTGGTGTACCCCATGCACGCTTGTTATCTCTTACGCACTGCAAAAAAATAATATCAGAAGGTATTACTTTACTGAGAGGGTACAGCCTTCCAGTTGAAGTGGTAGAGGTTAACACAGTGAGAACATAGAAACATAGAAACACAGAATGTGACGGCAGATAAGAACCATTCGGCCCATCTAGTCTGCCCAATTTTCTAAATACTTTCATTAGTCCCTAGCCTTATCTTATAGTTAGGATAGCCTTATGCCTATCCCACGCATGCTTAAACTCCTTTACTGTGTTAACCTCTACCACTTCAGCTGGAAGGCTATTCCATGCATCCACTACCCTCTCAGTAAAGTAATACTTCCTGATATTATTTTTAAACCTTTGTCCCTCTAATTTAAGACTATGTCCTCTTGTTGTGGTAGTTTTTCTTCTTTTAAATATAGTCTCCTCCTTTACTGTGTTGATTCCCTTTATATATTTAAATGTTTCTATCATATCCCCCCTGTCTCGTCTTTCCTCCAAGCTATACATGTTAAGATCCTTTAACCTTTCCTGGTAAGTTTTATCCCGCAATCCATGAACCAGTTTAGTAGCCCTTCTCTGAACCCTCTCTAAGGTATCAATATCCTTCTGAAGATACGGTCTCCAGTACTGTGTACAATACTCCAAGTGAGGTCTCACCAGTGTTCTGTACAATGGCATGAGCACTTCCCTCTTTCTACTGCTAATACCTCTCCCTATACAACCAAGCATTCTGCTAGCATTTCCTGCTGCTCTATTACATTGTCTGCCTACCTTTAAGTCATCAGAAATAATCACCCCTAAATCCCTTTCCTCATATGTTGAGGTTAGAACTCTATTAAATATTCTGTACTCTGCCCTTGGGTTTTTACGTCCAAGATGCATTATCTTGCACTTATCCACATTAAATGTCAGTTGCCACAATTCTGACCATTTTTCTAGTTTACCTAAATCATTTGTCATTTGGCTTATCCCTCCTGGAACATCAACCCTGTTACATATCTTAGTATCATCAGCAAAAATACATACCTTACCATCAAGACCTTCTGCAATATCACTAATAAAAAAGTGAGTTTAAGCATGCATGGGACAGGCATAAGGCTATCCTAGCTATAAGATAAGGCCTGGTACTAATACAAGTATTTTGAAAATTGGGCAGACTAGCTGGGCCGAATGGTAATCTGCTGTCACGTTCTATGTTACTTTGTTACTCTAACTGCACACAGTAACTACACTGAACTGCTATACTGCTGCTGTATACTACCTGAGAAACATGACAGTTATGAGAACCCTGGTTTTTAGTATTTGCCCATTTTCAAGGCAAGATATAGAGGTGAAGTGAAGACGAATGCATTACATAGCAAAAACATTAAACAGTGGGAAGACATAACTTGCCTTTAGAGTCTCCTACTGACAGAACCATTTCTTTTTAGAAAGATATGATCCAATCAGGAGTATCTCATTCTTGTCTATAGGATTTATGCTTTACCTATAGACCTCTCTCCAGCATTAAGAATCAGCTGTAGGATGTCTAATACAAGCAAGACCATTTTAGAATAAACTTGCAGAATGCAAATCCAGCCTTGTAGGGCTCCATTCTCAACCATTTTATACCCGCTTGCCACAGATATTTCCTTTTCACTATAGTCAACATATAAAAGCAAGAAAGACAGGTCCCCTAGCCTTTCTTGCTTTTATATTAGTTTGCCATTAAAATAAATGTGAGCAGGGGGGGGCGGAGCCTGACCGCGAACTGTGATGGCCGCATAGAACGAAAGCTCCCACCGACTTGCATAAACATTCAGCCACATATCCAGCCGCACTCGGTGCACGGACCCCCAGAGACGCAGCACACATCCCGGAACCCCCACAGCCACCAGCGGACATGGGGGGGGGGGGCGGAAAAAGCACGAGCAGCTGCCATCTGTGGCCCCTCTGTTCCAGCAACCACGAGGCCAGACGCCATCTTCCCCACAACGGCAGGAAGACTCTGCCTCTGACCGCAGTGAGGCAGCAGGCTCAGCCTCCACACCGATCACCAAGAGGGACCTGCAACTACTGCTGCAAGAAGCTGCAGCAGACATAGACACATATGGCAGCAGAACTCGGAAAACAGCTACAACTCCTGAAGGCTGACCTGGGGGAGAGGACAGGACAGGTGGAGCAGAGGGGAGATGAACTCCTTGAAAACCTCAATATGCACCAAGCTGAGCTCACTACACTGAGAAACAAAGTGGAGGAATTAGAGACCGGTATGGAAGACCTAAATAAATCGCTCTAGGCGTAACATAAGGATTAGGGGCCTCCCCGAAACAGTCATGCCTGATATGCTGCTCTCCACGCTGCGTGAATCGTTTCTTACAATTCTCCCAGAGGCAATGCCACGCCACAAGACCTCGCCATAGACCGGGCGCACAGAGCCCTCAAACCCCCTAGCCAAAACCAAATGGCGCCCCGAGACGTAATAGTACGCCTCCACTACTTTACCTTTAAAGAAGCCATCATGGCGGCCACACGAAAAACCCCGCCAAAATTTGACGCCATCACTCTTCAGTTTTACCAAGATGTCTCACCTACCACATTAATGAAACGCAGAGAGCTCAAACCCCTAACCAGCGCACTGGCACAAGCCAACATACTATACCGATGGGGACACCCCTTCAAGCTACTGGTCCGCAAACATGATAGTACCCATGTCCTTCAAGACACCTCAAAAATGGCGCCCTTCGCTGCCGCACTGGGCATCAGCCTACCTGAAGCATGAGCGCAATCCAGAAATCCAGTGAACAACGGCAGACCACAAAGGACGCCACTCTGGGGAAAAACTTCGGACACCCCGGAACCGACCACCCAAGCGCCAGCAGCAGACATCGGTGCCGACTCGCAACCGGGACACCTGAATGGCATGGAACTAGTCCACCATGGACTCAACCACTCACCGGCAGAGACTATCCCAAGAGACTTGAAGGGACTTCCAAACTTTTTGATCTACTTCTGAGTGCGGGAACGCACACCACCATATCCTTTTACACCGAGTTTTATGGCGCTACTTTAGCCATGGTTTACTAAGGTTTAAGGGGACACAAAACCGATACGGTGACACCACTACAGGGCGCTGAAAAGGGCCTAAAGCGAGGGAAAAAGGGGAGGGGGGGGGATGAAGGGTAAGGGACTAGAGCATCTGTAGACAAAAGGGGGGAAAGGAGAGGAGGAATACACGGGATGGAAAGGACAGGGGGGGAGGCACTGGGGAGGTACGTTCAATTGGCGTTTCTCATTAAATGAGACAGGAATCCCTAGCGGTTCCCCCAGGAAACGCCAAACCCAAAGCAGCTATGTTTGACCATCAGCACATACCCACTAGACCCGATAGAGAAGGCCCAGAGCGAACCCACCCCGGGGCACTGATCACAGCCCGCCTATGCCCAGAGCGGGACGCACACAGAGACCGCACTGTGCAATGCACCACTCAGCACAGTACGGGGGTCACGAGACCCACCCAGGTGGGGACGACTCCACACACCCCACTCCATTTGGCCTGGCACAAAACCTAAGACCAGGCATTTATTTTTTCTGTATTATTTGGTATTATATGTTAATCTTAGTTCAATGGTTTGAATTGGTCTCATCAGGAGGAAACATGACGGACACAACATTTAGACACACAGGACACCGTCTACCACTGGGGGGGGTAATAGCGAAACATGCTCCACCACACAACCATGACAGCTAGCCTGATGTGCATCTCAATCAACTGTAAAGGGCTGAATAACCCCGCCAAACGTCACCGACTCATGAGATGGGCAAACCGCAGCAAAGCGGATATACTCCTACTACAGGAGACACACTATGCAGACACACGCCCTTTCCCTCTCCTGAGCCGCCACTTCCGGGCTTGCTACTTCGCCAACTTCAATGCCACGATCGAGCCACAGGTAGATACTCAAACGACCACCACAGACTCCAGCACCGACCAGAAATGACAAACTCATGGCAGACTTCATTTCCACTACCAAACTGATAGATATATGGAGACTGCAACACCCCTCCACACTAGACTACACCTTTTATTCCCACCCACATCAAACCTACTCGCGTATAGACTACTTCCTGGTTTCCCCGTCACTTCTTCCGCTCATAACAACGACCTCCCTAGGCAACATAACGTGGTCCGACCACGCTGAGATAGCGATCACGTTCCAGCCCCCACGAATCTCTAGACCCTGGTCCTGGAGACTTAACCCGACACTACTCCACGACCCACAAACCGTACAACAAATCACAACAGAACTCAAACACTACTTCGCCACAAACAAGGCTACAGTACTGTGGCGAAACCAACCTCGCCACGTGTCCTTGGAGGGGGCTGCTTGCCCGCCTCTTGCCTTTAGACTATGGCCCCTGTTCTTTTTCCCTGCAGAAAGGCTGGTTTGTGCCTTTCTGCGGACTGTTAAAGACATGCTACCCCAGATAGCTATGCCATGGAGCCCAGCAGTATACTGAAAGACTGTATGAAAGACTTTGGCTCCATGGCGATTGAACTGTATGTATGTGATCTGGGTGCCATCCGGTAATAATGTGCGCTCAGATCTACGCTATCTGGGGATAGGTAGAATGTCTGTATTTTATGTAATAAATGTAACCATGTATATTTTATTGTATTTTTATGTCTTATTGTCCTTTGTCTGCCATGTGGCTAATGGAGTTTTGCCTCTGTCCTTGGAGATAATTGATTTACTTCTCAATTATCCCCACTATAGAAGACTCTGTGGAACTGGTTTTGGGCAGAAAAACCATGCTTCATTTAGTCACCAAGGACTTTCCCTTAACTTTTGAACCCCTGGTCTGATTCGTGCCATTTTTTTAATATGTTGTTCCCCTGAATGGATTGATTATGAAAATGTATGTTTTATGTTTGTGACATGTATATTTTAGAAGTTATAAATATTGTGTAAAAACTGTATTCCTCTGCCGGTGATAATGAGATTACCCATTGTTTTCTGTAATCATATCACAGGCAGAGGGGAGGATTTTGTGTGGGAGTGTCTGGGTGTATTGTACGGATTGATTGGTTGTTTTGTAACGCCCTGTGGGCTGTACTATGTTTGTGGATTGGGAATAAAAGACTGTATGTGACAGTACAGGGAGTTCCTGTTTTAACCCTCCAAGTGAAGTGTGGTCTCATTATTGGGGGAAGGATTTATTGTATGCTGTTCCAGTTTGACTGCTAGGAGAGTAAACCTATTCGTATGGTTACTATTCAACTGTCTACAGCATGCATATGCTTGGGAGAATTTATTTGTTTCTCCGGTTCGGTGATTGTGGTGTCTGCCAGAGTGCTTGGAGTCCTCAAGAAACGCTAGGAGCATCCTTTAACGGAGGTACCCAGTCGGGGTGCCAGGCGATCCGTTACAAGTACAATCCAACGCAATCATATGGGCTGCTCACAAAACGGTGATCAGGGGCACCCTTATTAGCTTAGCCACAGCACACACAAAAAAAAAAAAAAAAGACGCCTCGCTCACAGAGAAAATACTAGCGACTATCAGGGACCTTGAATCCCTACATAAAGTCACCCCCACCCCGGACCTCACTACACAACTCCAACACCAACGACAGGCCCTCAACAATGCAATGGCAGTGGATGCCACCAGGGCTCTACAATGGACAAAACAAAAGTTCTATGAAAAGTCCAATAAAGCCGACACACTCCAGGCCCGCAGGCTGCGCAAGCGCATCCAGGCCAAGCGGATAACACGCATATGCACACCATCGGGCCATGATACAGAGGTACCTACCAAAATAGCTGAGGTATTCCAACACTACTTTGCAGACCTGTATGACCACTCCCCCCACCATAGGCAATGGACCGCCACCCTACAGGACCGTATCCAAACCTTTTTAGACCAAACCCACCTGCCCACACTCAGATAGCGTGATCACCCAACTCTCCATGGAGATCACAGAGCAAGAAGTGGCGACGGCGATAGGGGCCACCAAACCCAACAAAAGCCCAGGACCGGACGGATATCCGGGCATATTACTAAACATTCCGGGACACTCCTACCCCACCTAGTACAACTATACAACACCCTGCTGCAGGGAAACCCGCTCCCCAAAGACATGCTGCAAGCCAACATTTGCCTTCTACCCAAACCCAACAAACCCCTCTCAGACCCAGGCCACTATCGGCCAATATCCCTATTGAATGTAGATATCAAACTGTTCACGAAAATACTCTCCAACAGGCTGCTACCATATATCACATCAATAATCCACCCGGACCAGGTGGGCTTCATCCCCACTCGCCAAGCTAGTGACAATACCAGGAGGATGCTAGACCTGATCTGGGTGTCCACCCAGCGCTCCATTCCGACGCTACTCCTATCCCTGGACGCCGAAAAGGCGTTTGATAGGTTACTGTGGCCATTTCTCTTTGCAACTCTGGAGAAACTCAGATTCCCCAAACCATTCCAAGACGCCCTGCGAATGATCTATTCTAATCCTACTGCTAACCTACTCATACCAAACACGAACCCCCCTCGGTCTCCATCTACAATGGCACGAGGCAGGGCTGTCCCCTATCCCCCATCCTGTTTGCCCTCTCACTTGAACCACTACTGCATCTTATCCGCACCACTCCCCAGATCACAGGCATCAAAATCCGCACACAAACATACAAAGCGGCGGCATACGCCGATGACCTGATGCAGTCACTCACAGATCCGCAGAACGCACTCCCAGACGACTACTCAGAGGTATCGGGATACAAATTAAATTTCGATAAAACTGAAGCACTCATGCTGACAATACCAGACAATCAAAGACAGACACTACGGAACACATATGCTTTCAATTATAAGGCCTCACACATCTCGTACCTAGGGATCACACTACCAGCGGAACTACAGCACACATACGCATTAAACTACTCACCACTGATACAGAAAATCACGGAAGACCTGCAGAGATGGAGGGACTTGTCTTTGTCGTGGCTGGGACGCCTAGCCTCGGTAAAGATTAATCTTCTACCAAGACTGCGCTATCTTTTTCAAACCCTCCCCATCCCCATACCAAACTCGGACTTCAAATAGTTACAGTCGCACATCGACAAATTCATCTGGTCGAATAAACGTCCGAGAGTAAAAAGGGCGACCATGTACATCCCCAACAGGACAGTACCCCACTTACAACACTTTTACCACGCGACGCAAGCCACACAGATACAACATCTACACACCCTACCGGGGACGAAGCGCTGGGTGGACTTAGAACACGACATATTTGGCTTTGACCTCCCCTCATTGTACCTATGGGTCCCACGAAACACCCGGCCCACACCACCGCCCATACCCCCGACATTAGCTAATTCTATCAGCACCTGGGACAAGCTTACCCGAAAATTCCCTATCAACAACCCATCACCACTGACACCCATACTGCGCAATAAAGCATTTAGCCCAGGAATTAACCCAAAAGATTTTGCATACTATGAACACAACGACCTTTATAGAATATGCCACTTCTTCGAGGGAGGAAAACTAATGCAATACAAAGACCTTCCCCAACAACACTCACCATACAACACACATGACTTTTTCAGATACATACAACTAAAGAGCTTTCTGGAACTCCCTGATAATAGGACAGCAGCCACCACCAGATGCACAACATTTGAACGAGCATGCATACACAACCCAGCCCGTAAGGGCCAGATCACTGACAACTATAGCCTGCTCATCTCTACTCACGCCCCAGGAGCGATGGCATATGTGGCGGCTTGGGAGAGGGACCTGGGGCCACCGGGGGACCCGACTGACTGGCAGGACATATAGGAGGCCACAGCATCTATCTCTATCTGTGTCAACCACAAAGAGCAGGCCTATAAAACTTTACTAAGATGGTATCTAACCCCCGCAAGACTACACCGAATGGGTAAGATTGACTCGGACCTCTGCTGGAAACGGTGTGGGCAAAGGGGAACATACATACACCAATGGTGGCAAAGCCCAAAACTAGCACCGCTATGGGCAGAGGTGGCCCGCCTGGTCTCCAGCTTACTCCACACAGATATACCCTTAGACCCATGGATCTGGCTCCTATCCAAACCCTGGGAACCTTTAACCAGGGCCCAAAACAAATTAGCAAACAGAACAGCTCTGGCAACAAGGAGGGAGATAGCAGAACTCTGGGGCACCCCGGAGGTCCCCACTCTATCCACAATCATTCGCAAAACCAGGGAAGCCATTGAAATGGACAGAATCTCAGCCCTAGGCCACGAAACGTCACGCCACTTTCACAAAATTTGGGACCCGTGGCTGAGCGAACCGGCGCTGATGTCGCCAAACCTGGCTAGGCCGCAGCCCCAATAAATGGCCAACAGAAGCATAACAGGGTGGGGAGACCAGGGGCTGAAACCCAAAAGCAAAACAAACAGGGGAGACCCTACAGGGGCCCACACCCACAACTGACCCCAGCAGACACCCAAAACCACAGCACAGAAACACTAAAACTTCTCGTGAGCATAACACCCAACCACTGAGACCAAAGGTTGACTATGTTTATACTGGATTGTATATTTTTGTATGTTTTTACGTCGGTATTTAAGTTTCGTTGTATATTATGGATTTTATCATATAAACTTACCTCCGTTCCAGCGCTGAGCTCCTCAGCAAGCCAAGCCTTTGTCAAAAATAACAAAATAGCAGGGCTCAGACGCTTCTTTGAGAAGCGTTCACTCTGGTGCGCATATGAGGCTTTGCTCTGCACCAATCAGGTTCTTTGTAGAGGTTCATTGAATGCCGCTCTATGAATTTACTGAGCGCTGTATGCTCAATTTTTTAAATATTTTTACTTACAGTTTCAAGTCAGCAGATCCTCCTGCCTTCTGCTTTCAGCACAAGTCCACGCTGTGTGCAAGAGATCGTTCTTACACCGTCTGCTCTGTTTGCAGACAGGCACAGGAGGCGCATTCACAGTGCCTCCTGTCTCCAGATATCACGTTTGATGTATGCACCAAAGTGTGAAGACGTCAAACGTGATGAATGCAAATTAGGCAGCTCTGAACTCTGAAGTTACTCTGGTGGCAGTCTGAGTGACTGCCACTGGAGGTGTTCCTAGCTTCCAAGGTAAAACTATTTTCTCAAAAAATACAGTGTCTACATGAGAAAGGCTGCAGGGAGCCATTGTTCTCACCTGAACAACCACATTAATCTGAAGTTGTTCAGGTGACTATAGGGTCCATTTAAGTATTACTAATCACTTAAATGTTGCTTTTTTTAGTTTTACAAATTCATACCTGTACTGTGGGTGTAATCCTCTCGTTTATTGTATTGTGAAGTAGCAGAGTTTGGGGATTGTAAAGTTGGCACGTGAAATCCTGGCCTGTCAGGTTCATTGGCTTTGCTGCACTCCAGTTGAAGTGGAACCCATTTTTTCTTGCTACCTGCAATATAAATATTTAAGACATTTTGTAGACAAGGTTAAAAAAAAAAAAAAGTTTGCCTCTACTTAAGCTTGCTGAAGTGCTTTATGTGTAAAAAAGTCACAGTATAAGTCGTGTCATGTCACATCACATCACCCCCCTTCCACCCTCCCCGCCCCCCCGCTTTCATTTTGAGTAAATCTACTAAACTATGATTTTGTATTCTGGCAAAGGAGTGACCCTTTAATGACAGATTCTAAACCAAAACCCATAATTTGTGCGATGTGTCTGCTCCATCATAATATAATTTAAAGATTTGCCTTAACATTTCTTTAGTGAATTAAAAAAAAAAATAATAAAATCAAATTTGAGGTAGACCTTAAAGCATACGAATTTGGCCTTGTCTACCTTAAAAGGACACTAATGCTTAATGTAGTGGTTCTGGTGTCTACTACTTGTCCTTTGCAGGCATTTCAATATAAACGCTACCTTTTCAGAGAACAGTCAGACATGCACGAAAGATGCTTCCTGTGGTGTTCAGCATGGTCACGCTCTGCATGGAGACGCTGAATGTTCCCCATAGTGATGCATTGATTGAATACATCTCTAGGAGGAGAAGCCGATTGGTGCATTGCGGAATTTTGCCATACAGGCACAATAGTCTCTCACTGCTTTCCTGTGGGAAAGCATTGATTTCGCGGAGATAATCAAAATCGCCATGGAGGTGGAATCAGCCATGGACAGACTAGCGAGGCACGGGGAGTAAACTCACCTTTTCAGAGCAAAATAAGGGAGGCTGGGGACGTAAACGGTACTATACATGTTTGTATTACTGACACTAAATGCTCATTTAAATTTGAAATTAACTTTGAACTGTCACTTTATTTACAAGATCCCATTTTCAAACCTTTCTTCCTTAGGACAGCTGAGTCAGGGCTTAAATTAAAATTCTCACAGATGTCCTCCCGTTCACTGCTCTTGCTTTCAACATTTTTCCAAGGTTCCTTGTTACTCTGAGACTTTGCATCCTGTGCTTTACAGGTTGAAGGACTAAGGGGAAGACGGCACTGAAAATAGAGGAAAACTAAATCAATAAATTAGAAAGAAAAAAAAAAAAAAAAGCTAGTTACAAGAAATCTTTACCAATACCTTTACCCAGATTTTGACTTTGACACAGAAAGTACAAAATTCACTAAAACTCATTTATTTTTCCTTAAATATGCAGCTTGAGTGGAGGATAGGAGTGTTCAACGCTTCATTCGTATATGATGAAGTTGTACCCACCTCATGGTTTGTGGTCTCCATTGGCGTCGGCCAGTTTGTGATGTCATTGATGTCACTCTGCTAAAAAGAAAATTACACTTAAATAAAAAAAAAAAATTAAAAAAACAAAAAAAAAAAATTTATTTCAGGAACAGAGAGCAATGTTTCAGCTCAATACATGAGCATTTATAAAGCTTGGCCAGGCAATGTTTACATTTCTCAGACTGGAGGAACTAGGTCTACGCACAGAAGCAAGTACATTGCGATGTTTTGTTATTGGTGTTTAGACTGTCCCTTTATGGAATAAAATTCCACTGCATAAAATCAGCAGCTTGGCTTCAAGTAACAGTGCAACCCGGATACTGTACAAAATGCAGAACTTTATCAACGGAATCATTTATTCACTGAGGAGCAAGTAAACAGTGTAAACGTTTGCAAGCTTGATCCCATACCTAGCAGTGGAAAGGATCATGTTAATAATGACACAATGTTAATGATAAGTAAACATTGGTAACATAACTTGACCAAGTTTCTAAGATACTGACAGAACAAGTCAAGAACAAGTGCCCACAAAGATATAAATTTTGTTTATGCAAGGAAGATATTCATAGTTTTCGAGTTGATTTTGATTTGAGCCAGCCAATCACTAGTTTGGAGCACTTTGCTTACATAGCAAGAACAAGTGCCCACAAAGATATAAATTTTGTTTATGCAAGGAAGATATTCATAGTTTTCGAGTTGATTTTGATTTGAGCCAGCCAATCACTAGTTTGGAGCACTTTGCTTACATAGCAAGAACAAGTGCCCACAAAGATATAAATTTTGTTTATGCAAGGAAGATATTCATAGTTTTCGAGTTGATTTTGATTTGAGCCAGCCAATCACTAGTTTGGAGCACTTTGCTTACATAGCAAAGGCAACAGAAGTGTTTATTAAAAGGGCAGATTTTCCAATGAGTAGAGTAGTTTTTCTAATGACAGCAGGTCATGTCTGTGGATGAATGAGAGGAGAGTAACAGAAGTATACTTATCTTGTTATATCTGTGCAATACTACCACATAAAGTTATTTTTATATGTTGTTAAAGTTTTACAGTACATACGTTTGGTGTTTCATTTTACAAGTGTTACTAGTTTTATTTAGTTCTTTGTCGAGTAAGAGACTAAGTGATTTTGAAGTTATAAAAGGTAAAAAATAGGGTGTAAAGAAAGTGTAATATACAAGTCCCAATGTGCATTTGTGGAAGGTGAGGTTGTTACCTTTTTTGGTGCTTGTTTTCCTGGCCTATTAATTCTTGATGAAGGCAAACCTAAAACATAGATCCCATTATAATCTCAATAGTCACTGTTTAGAAATGTTAAAGTCATTTATTTAGTTCTATAAAGATTAAAACAACTGAATTTCAGGGACCTGAAAAAAAATAAAATAAAAAGACAGCAAAGTATGAAACCACAAAAGAATGATTAGAGAAAACAAACATTTCATATTGACAATTAACCAGGGCAGAACTGTTTTCAATCTTATTTGCCTACTGTAGAGGACATTCTCCATTGGGGTACCAAAAGCAGTTTACTGAAACCCTCCTGCATACGGTTTGGGTATGACTGTGACGAGATGTGCAAGTTACATAAATTGCATCAGTAGTGATACATGTACATGTGTCAACCTTTCAATACTCACTACTCAATACTCACTATGCAGATATGCCAGACACCAGACTAGGCCATCTGTTCCTTTATAAAATACTTTAAATAAGATGCATTTGAGAGTATAAATGTAAAAAAAAAAAATTAAAGATTATTTTCTGTCTAAGATATATTATAGTCCAATTTTGATTATTTTGGCCAAAAATAAGAAAAATAAATAAAAGTAATGTTAGTATTACCTATTACCGCAGCTAAACTGCTCCTATCACAAAACTGGAAAACAGGGAAAATCCCAGATGTCCAAGAAGTAACATCACAAGTTATATGGCAAGCAAAAATGGAACAGGGTATTCTAATGAACTTGGGTAACAAATATACTCCGAAGATTGAGATATATGAATACAGAAAATGGAAAAATTGTCTTAACAGTCACCCCATTAGGTTAAAGGTGTTCCCAAGTAAAGGTAAAACAGGGCAAGAAGCTAGATCATTATTCACTTTCCCTCTGCTCCCAATACTGGTTTCATGCATACCTCAACCTCTTGAATAAAAAAAAAATTAAAAAAAAAAAAAATATATATATATATATATATATATATATATATATATATATATATATATATATATATATATATATATATATATATATATATATATATATATATACACACATATATACACACACACACATATACACACACATACATACACACACACATACATACACACACACACACACACTTATGAGGGAGAGGTGAAGAGGAAGTAAAAAGGGGAAATTGATGCCAGAAAAGCAGGCATATAAATGGAATCACAAATCCAACTATATTACAGTAGATGTGGGATGCGCCCTCTCTCCAAAAATGAGAGATAGAGCAAATAAAATGAGGTCCGCAATAGAATTTAATAACAAAGGTGGGGGAGGGTGTAAGGTGGGAAGGGATAGGGGATTTTCAGACAATGTTAAATAATTTAATTCCCCTATAGGTTTGTCTACCTACTTACAAACTCCATTAACCCCTTTGTGACCCAAACCGCACCGTTTGGAACCACGGCTGTTTTTACATTTCTGCAGCATGTGTGTTTAGTTCTAATTTTCCTCATTTACTGTACCCATACATTACATAAGGTTTTCCTCGCCATTAAATGGTCTTTCAAAAGATCCATTATTTTCAACTAGAAAGAGAGAGCAGGAGAAAAAAAAAGGAATCAAGTGGAAAATCCTAAAGAGTCAGTTTCCCTCTTAGTCTAAGGAAACGCAAGGGGAAAGTAGAATACCAAATGAAAGGTTTGTCACTTGGATGTAAAACAACTTTTCATAGTTAATAGACTAAAAATCACAGGGGGGTAGTGGAAATACATAACACCCGTGCACGTAAATGCCCATCCATGACCAAGAATAATATACATCCAAGATTAAAATTGCTGGAATAGCACACAATACCTATAATAGCATTACGTACAATTAGGGACTGACAGCTAAATCAACAATGTTGGGGTTGTATGTAGCGGAAAAGCAATTTGTTACCTACGAAATCAGTCTCAATTTTAGCGAAGTCTTAAGTCCCGTATATGCAGGGTTAGAACAATGTAGAAATACCCTCAATATAGATAGTTGTTAATCTAGATACGGGTTGAGTAGGATTTTATTAGTCCTTAAAAAGCACAAAAAGGCTATAGCGGTCAGAATCTTTGTTATGATAAGAATGTTCTTTCCATTAATGATTTAAGGCAATATTACATACTACTGGATAGTAGGAGTCTTCAGTAGTTAGCCATATTTGTACCGTGTTTGTAGATGCATTTTATTGACAGATTAGTACTGTATCAATCGAGGACTATATTGATGAGAACAAGTTTATACAAAAGGATCTCTAATAGATCGATATATTGTATAAATACGTCTGAACTATATTCACCAGCTTAGTCAGTGTATCTTTATTCCGAGGCAAATGCCAGTCAGAATAGCTCACACTGTGAGGGTTGATTAAAGGACCACTACAGGCACCCAGACCACTTTAGCTCAATGAAGTGGTCTGGGTGCCAGGCCCATCTAGGGTTAACCCTGCAGCTGTAAACATAGTTTCAGCAAAACTGCTATGTTTACATTCGGGTTAATCCAGCCGCTAGAGGCGCTTCCGTGATTCTCACTGTGAAAATCAGTGAAAAGATGCTAGACATCCGTAGGAAAGCATTGAGACTGATTGAATGCACGCGTGCGGCTCTTTCCGCGCATGCATTGCTGACATCGGAAAAGGGAGGAGATTTCCCCAGCACCCCCAACCCCCTAACTAACCAATACACAAAGACTGAAACCCCACCGACACACCTCCTCCTACACCCCCCCCCCACAACTCTGTGCAGAGCTGAGCTTCCTCTCCCTGTCTCTGCTCTCTGACCCTGGAGGAAGTCCTCCCAGCACAGTGCCCCCTCTGACCATCACAGAGAAGACCTCCAAGTCATTATATAAGGCAGAGAGGTAAACAAGTGAAAAAGTAAGCAAATCCTTATTTTAATTAATTTAGAAGGCAGACAGGGTGAAGGAGGACACCTGTATTTAGTTAGGAACAGGAGGCACTATAGCATTAGGACAAGCATGTATTCCAGACACTGTGTTCCTTTAAGGGTGTCGGGTGGAGTTCATGTATTTAAAGTGCAAGACTACAGTGATTTGGAGGGGAACAAGCCTCAAAGCACATTCTGCATTTTGGTTTCAAATATGAGTTAGCCATATAGTGGACTTACAAGTCAGTATATGCAAAGTGAAGAACTTCTGTAAACACAAATTTACATTTACAGAAATTTTCATGAATAGCAAATATTTAGGTTGTGGAAGAGCAGCACCAGTACTTTGTGCAGCATGTAGATATGATTAATACAAACCGACCACTGACCCCCACACTCATGGGGAATCTGAATACAATTAGTGGGAATGGAAAAACAAATAAAATTCTATTCCAAAGCAGGATGAGAACTAGAGCCTTCATGTAGTGGCCAGACAAATCCCTTAACACAATTATATTAAAGTGGCACCACGACCTTAGTCCAAAATGGTCAACCATATTCTTAGCAGTTAATTTGGCCTAAAATCTGAGTTTTAGTAATATATACGGTCAGGTTATTCACTAATGTTAGAATTCTAAGTGAATGCAAAGTGATTTTTCATCATTAGGTCAAAATAGAGTTAGAAAACTTCTAAGTCCGCTATCCTTTCAGTTTGTTAAATCTGGTCTCTCCCTTTAATGTGAATAACCGTCTGTTGTCACTAAACTTTCATAGAACTAAATAGCGGATCTGCCTTTCTAAACAAGGGAAAGGATCGGCAATGCCACAGATTCAAGAACATAATGTGGATGGGATTAATGTAAAAAAAAAAAAAAAATTAAAGAAAGCTGCAAGCAGCTGTATCTACCTTTATGCATTTTTACTACCAAGTGTTTGAAAGTGGAAAACTTGCTTTTAATGGAATGTAAAAGGCCCAGTTAACATGAAAATATAATGCTACATAGAACAAAAAAATAAATAAAATAAATTACAATTTGGAAAAAGTGATGCTTGTACCGTGTTTGTGATGCTTGTAATAGGCAAGTGTTGAGCATTCTGCCTTGGGTAACAGGCGAGTGTTGTGTGGCACAGGACCTGGGTAGAAGATTGTTATCTCCCCATGTCTAGCAAAGTGGGAGCTGCCTCACAGATACAGGCAACTGGTCCAGACCGATATGCCACCAACACCCAATGTCTGGTAACTACCATATGTTGAAGGGGAAGCAACAAAGGAGTCGCTGCTTACCCCCCTGACACCAGGGACTGTTGTCCAGTGTCCACTCCTCTCCACCTTGGCACAGATGTATGTGTGATTGTACGTGTGAGACTGCACAAGTGTTCTAGGTACACTTCTGGTACCAATACATTCAAATCTAATTGACATCTGAAAATATATTGTGGTAAAGATTGTAAATTTTATTTTTGACTCACATCTTCATGTACACAACCATTTGCATTGTGCCGGCTTCCCTGGCAGAACAAGCAGCAATGTAATTGGGTGAATGAATTTAAGCAGCCTGCCATCACGTGGTGGATTAAAGACAGCTACCTAGCTCAGCAGAATTATTTGAATTTGTTCTTGCTAATGCATGTTGTAGTTTCATGTCATGGCACTTTCTAAAAGCATGTTATATAGACCACACCCAATTTCGCAACATTAAGGCTTTAAACATAAGAAAATTTGATCTGTGCAAGCAGCTACTGCCTGCTATCCAAGGCAATGAACCTTCGGCACTCTAAAATGCCTGCGACCCAAAATACAAAAGTTATATTGCCACGCTGTAGTGATTAGGATACCTTATAAAACAGTTCTGTTCAGGAGCTGAAGAAAGGAAATAGCAGTACTTCAGGGGAAAGAAGTAGTTTTTGTTTTGTTTTGTTTTTTTAAAGTTGGCAGCTGCAATGTCACCTAATAAAGTCACTGCAAAAAATTATTTTTAGCTCGTTATCAACCAATAAATATAAAAATAAATAAATGGGGGTGTGGGGTGTTAAAAACTCACTATGGCACTCCTGCTTCTGAGAAGCTTTTGATTGGTCCACACAATGGCTCAGTGATTTCATAAGGGGAAGTGCCGAATAGTGTCTGAATTCAAGTAAGTTTTACCGTAGTTTTATAGTAATTTAAATGTTAATGGAAGTTGGGACCTTCACAATAATGGCCAATAGGGCATAAGTCAGGGGCTGTCCAACCTGCGGCCCCCAGATGTTGCTGAACTACAACTCCCATGATTCCCTGGCTGTTTCATTGAAAGAATCATGGGAGTTGTAGTTCAGCAACATCTGGGGGGGCGCAGGTTGGATAGGCCTGACATAAATAGTGGCAACTGAGGGCTTGACATTAATTCCGCATTTTTGTCAAACGTAGGGAAAAAGTAAATAAAAAAACAAAAAAATTAAAAAAAAAACACAAACACACCATTACTACTTTGTATGCATAGACAGAATCTGTTCGGCCGATAATATTTCAGATTTTGGTAGATATCGCTATCAGCCACTATCGATACCGATATTGCCAATAATGTGAGGAGGCGGTGTCCCAGCACACGCAGGGCCGACGCATCCATATTGCGACACAGGTGGCCGGCTCTGGGGATGCAAGAATCAAATGACTGTCAGGAAGGAAGTGCACAGCGCTCCCCCAACCTGTCACTGTGTAGCGTGGTTGAAAGGAGCAGAGTGGGCCGCGATACAGGAGCTTCAGTTTCCTGTACCCGGGTGGACTGACAGGAAGTGCTCACTGAGAGAGCACTTCCTGTCAGTCCGACTGGGTACAGGAAACAGCCTCTTGTAACACTGTCAAGGGAGAGGGAGAGGGAAGATGGAGAAACCCACTAATGGACAGGGAGGGGAGGTGAGGGGAGAGGTACACTAAGGGACAGGAACACCAAATATTCTTGAATACAAAAAAAATAAAAATTTTAAATGATTTGTGCAGAAATGATTTCTTTTATCGGTAAGTTATCAGCTATCAGCCCAAAAGCCTGGAGATTATCGCTATCTGTATTGGTTATAAAAAATAATAAAAAAAACATATCAGTCGATCCCTACTACTTTGTAATTTATTAAGGTCTTGTCATTACAGAAGTAATACAGACATATTGCATGGCACATTACAGCAGAGTTGAGGGGGAACTTCCCCAATATAAACAAGAATGAGAAATATAATGCATACCAATTAAAAAAAAAAAAAAAAAATATTTAATAAAAATTAGAACTCGAACACGCAGAACAGAAACCCGTTCACCAACCATTACACAACATGAGATGGAATGTGCCTAAAGACACACTTTAGGCACGCCCACAGGTTTAAACTGTGTACCCCCCACTAACTTCAACTTTTCTCACATCTGTGTGGTAGTTACGTGAATCATAATTTCTTTATTTCCCCATGTTAAGGCTAGTGTAATTTTTCAGCGTTCCAAGTGTCATCGTTGTGTAGGAACTGGTTCCAAGAATCCCATATCTGATCTCTCTTTTTCTGTTTCAGTCTGAGGGCCAACATTGTTTCGCATTTGCAATTTGTCTCTAGCTCCCGTTGTGTTGGGAATACCACACTTTTTACAATTTAGGGCAATCAAGCTCTTTGCTGCTAGGATTATAGGCATTGCTAGTGCTCACTGGGGAAAAGACAGGGTATGTGTGTTAGATTTCAGGGGGCCTATGTAGTGATTGAAATGAGAGATCTCCAATCAATGTGTGCACCACATTTGTGAATGGGTGCAATGCAATCCACTCACCAGAAGGGATACGTGTGCCCCTAGCCCAGAGACAGCTTAAACAAAGATGACTAGGGTAAGCGGTTGAGTTTGTGAACGCAATCTTAAGTAAAATTTCATGTGCATGTAAATTTGCAGTGGGTCTTTATATGGTTATGACAGTGTCACCCCCTGCAACCTGTTACCCATCGGGGTCCATTCCTTTTTGTGAGATACTTTGCAGTCTCTTTCCCAGAATAGCATAAACCTGGCTTTAATGTCCTGCATTAGTGTCAAAGGATTGTAACACAGTGAAAAGGTTTTAGCCTTGGTGGGAGCGGTCCAATATTGGTGGAATACCTGTTGGAGTAGTGCCTAAGAAGACAGTTTTATCCCAGTTTAAATGTAAGTGTTAATAGCACAAGTTAGCTGAAGATGAAAACTATAAGACAAGAAGATAAGTTCTATCTTGTTTGTAGGCATTCAAACAGTAAAACACCAACATCTGCCATCAATTGCTGGAGTGAGCGAATATCATCTACTCATAAGTTTTAACTTATCCCCAGAGCTACGGTCCTAGGTTTGAGTGAGCAAACTGATGGAATGAAACAAGTGTCTGTATCTAGACTTTAGGCATCCATTGCAGTCTAGGAAGACTTGTCCCATATCTACCCACCAACTCTCCCCCGATTTAAGGTTTGGGCCAAATTAAGCTGGTCAGTATTAGTTTTACAGTATGAAACAGAAAGTTGGATCAGTAAGTTGCAGAATAGATAAGAATTTAATCAGTAGCTAGCATGTTAATGGTTGGTAATTGGGGTGAACACAGTTTTGGTGCAAGTCTCCAGCAAGTGGGTCTCCGGCAAGAATAAAAGCTTTTCTAGCTTCTTGTAATGCTAACTTGCTTGTGTGGGGTACCCAGCCCTTAATGGTCTAATTTATCCCCTTTCATAATATTGTAAAGCGCTGTGGAAATAATAATAATAATAATAATAATAATAATAATAATAATAATAATAATGAAATGTTGCTTGCCCATCCTAGATGGTGATAGATCTGTATAGGATTTAAAGTTGAGTTACTACTTGTGAAGAGCTTTGGGTGATCTAGTCTCTCGTATGATCCAATACCATAGTAATGTACCTTTGTGATGACATCTCCAGAGACTGATTGAGGCAGGTGTTGGGGCTTAGCAAGCCTGTGAGTGCAGTCTAAAGTTAACTAGCTCCAAGGCCTCTTGTAATATCACTTTAAATAACTGTCGGTCATACGTTGCAAGGCTTGGTGCTTTCACCTCTTCACCAATTTCCCCTGATGCAAGTGTTGTTGCGACATGCTCTGTGCTCCATAGGCTGAAGCTTAGTTTCTATAGGGGCAAATGAGTAAGCCAGAGAGTTATAGGCATCTATTAGCTCCTAAGCTTTCTCCTCTAAATGGAATGTGCGATCCCAAGTGACAATCAGCTCTAAATTTTGCAGCCAATGTATTAAAATCCACTTTTAGTGAGGTTTTTACTTCATTTGACATATGAAGTACAGACCAGTCTGTCACTGGGTGGCCTGCTGAGTAGGAAATCGTTATCGCTTTTATCAGACCAGGAAGCCAGAGATACTGCTCACTATGTGCCATTTTGGCTTATGCATTGTAGAGAGGCCAGTGTCACTACTCTCCACTGCAGAACTAGTTTCATAAAGCAGCTTGTCATGGTAGGTCCCCTTGTGTCAGGAAAACCCAGGAGCCTGGTATGCCTGCTTTGTGGTGATACAAGCTGAAGTGAATACTCACTTTGGATGTTGGGGAGGAGGGGCTGACACTAACGTTTACATACCAAGCTAGAAATGAATTTTAAAATGTACGCATTTTAGAGCAATAATGCCAAAATTAGAAAACCACCACCGTTTTTCCCAGCTCTGCCATTTTGTCCTAAAATTTGGAACTCCGTTTAGTGAATAAATGATTGTCTACTGGAACAAAATTATGCTGCAGAGGTTCAGAAAAAGCCTAATCACTAATGGGCAAACCACGTACAGAAAAGTGACACCAATGAGCACCATTACCCATCACTCACTATGCATTCATAACAAACATGATCAGAAAATCCTCTGCAGATGGCTACTCAAACTCTTACTTTGCAATTCTGCATATTTTACACTGTCAAAAATGCATGAAGAGTCAAAAATATCAGGGGGGGGAGAGTATACAGGTTTACAGTGTAGACCAGTTCAACATAGTTTAAAAAATACAAAACAAAAATGTGTATAAACAAAAATAAATAGCTGAGCAAATGCAACTCACCCCTCTGTTCATGGATGCCAGCATTTTGGACATTGGTAGGGGCCCGACCATGCTTTCTGTTCCATGGGTTGGTTTGTGGAGGTGGGGCATCAATTGCTCTATGTTTTTCAGAGCATGTTTGGTCATTCTCCTTATTGGAGCTCTTTCCCTCTGGCATCTCCGGACGAGGACTCTTCAAGAGGAGCACCTGCAAGTCATGGCCAGGGCCATCGCCAACTGCCATCTGTTCTTTACCTGAGGTTACGGTAACTAGATCCTGGCTTTCCATTGACATTTCCTTCTATGAGGGCTGAGAAATAGAAAATAAGTGTAAATTTAAAAACCACAATAAGAAAGTATGTGATTGCTATAATACTGCAAACCAGATTAAAGTGACACACTGTTTACTGCAGCCATGGCGCAGTGGTGCTAAGGTATACAGGCGCTAGGGACCTGAACAGCACCAATTGTTAATATCCTAGCAGTGAATGCAGGACACATAGAAGCTGTAAACATGTAGTGTGCTCCTTAGTGAATAAAGTTTATAGTAACATAATAGGTAGCTGGGCCAGTGCTGCAACACTAACTCCAACTTGAAAGATAGGCGAAAAGGTAAACAGCAAGTAACAATGAACAACTAAAGCCTATACATGGATCTTATGCTGTCACAAGTATATGCAAAGCTACAGGATACACAAAGTGCAGCCACCAGTAGGGAGTGTATTTATATCCTGTGTTCAGGGCTGCAGATGGCTATGTGTTAGCAACATGTAAATAGGGTGGCATGTGAGATATGCTCATGGGGTGTGTACCCAGAAGGTACATGACCAAGGGCTGTGTTTATTGTACTGTGTTGTAAGGGGTGCTCTAGAGCCCCTGTGTTAAAGAGGGTTGGGGGGGGGGGCTGTTGCTCCAGGGTCCCAGTGTTAGGGAGGGGGGGGGCTGTTACAGGGTCCTGTCCCAGTGTAGTCCCAGTGTTAGGGGAGAGGGGGGCTGTTGCCCAGGGTCCCAGTGTTGGGGAGAGGGGGGGGCTGTTACCCAGGGTCCCAGTTAGGGGAGAGGGGGGGCTGTTGCCCAGGTCCCAGTGTTAGGGAGGGGGGGGGGGCTGTTGCCCAGGGTCCCAGTGTTAGGGAGAGGGGGGGCTGGGTTGCCCAGGGTCCCAGTTAGGGAGAGGGGGGGGGCTGTTGCTCCAGGGTCCCAGTGTTAGGGGAGAGGGGGGGCTGCTTGCCCAGGTCCCAGTGTTAGGAGAGAGGGGGCTGCTCCAGGGGTCCCAGTGCTAGGGGAGGGGGGGCTGTTGCTCCAGGTCCCAGTGTTAGGGGAGAGGGGGGGGGCTGTTGCTCCAGGGTCCCAGTGTTAGGGGAGAGGCTGTTGCTCCAGGGTCCCAGTGTTAGGGGAGAGGCTGTTGCTCCAGGGTCCCAGTGTTAGGGGAGAGGCTGTTGCTCCAGGGTCCCAGTGTTAGGGGAGAGGGGCTGTTGCTCCAGGGTCCCAGTGTGCTCATGTCCGTGGCAGCAGTTGCTCGGTCCCCTGCAGGTAACACACTCAGCTCGGAGGACCCCCAGCACAGTCTGGCTCCATGACAGCCGCATAACACACAGTGTGCAGACCCGCTCCTCCCCAGACGCTGGTTGTAGGTGCGGACAGTCCATACGGTGGTGGGGGTGTAATACTGGGTGGTCGGGGTGTGCGCGGCGCTCGGTTGTTACCCCCTTTGACGTTCGGTGCGCGCTCCCGCCGCAGTCCTTCACGAGAACGTTTATTTACTTGTAAAACGCACGCGCGCCTGAGCCCCGCCTCTTGTAGCGAACGCGAGCTGTGGGCGGGGTCAGGAGGGCGTATTGTACGAGCGACACTAAGGCCGTGCTGGGGGAGGAAGGAGTGCAGTCATGCCATTGGTTATTGTTGCGAAGATAGTGGGCGTGGCAATGGAGTGGGCGTGTTCTGTGATGTGTGGAGGTGTGCAGTGTGCTCCTCCTGGGTGCTGGGGGTCAGTCAGGGCTGGTTTTACCAGGGGGGCTATAGTGAGGTCATTATTCAGAGCTCACTGGTGGGGACTGAGAGGCTGGTTGTGTTACACAGGTATAACAAGATTTTTTACTTAACTTAGTTTTATAGATAATTGAAAGGTAAATGCTAGCTTTAGGTTAAACTAGGCTGATTATGGCTAAAGAGAGTGGGTGAGTTCTTCCAACTCTGCCCTGGTAGCCTACATATTGCAGTTTGGTTTTCAATTTTCTGCGGTTTGTCTCTTGGTGAATAACACCCACCAGGTTTGTAACCTGAAGTCTCCCTTTAGATTGTAAGCTCATGGGCAGGGCCTTGTACCTTTTGTATCGGTCTGTTTATAGTGTATTGTCTTTTTCCCGACTGAACAGCGCTGCAGGAAATATGTTGGCGCTTTATAAATGCCAGCAATAAAATAAACTGTGAATTTGACTGTTTCAAAATTAGTGGGACAGTGTGTTGTGAGTTCAAAACGAATGCCAACATTTCAGAGAAAATAGCCAAACTGGACTCAAGATTATTCCAGTTTGGCTATTGTAGCCTGTAGATTGAGAATCATCTTGAATTCCCAAGTATTCACAATTTAATAGAGAATAACAACTATACAGAGTAGTGTGCAGCGCATAAAAAATATTCACAAAAACCATATATAAGTGAAAACTTCCACCTTAAGTGAATAAATAATAATGAATAAGTACCCCAATGTAATCGTTATCAGAAGGGGTGTGTCTTATCTATAAAAAATGGAAAGATCATAGCATAACACTGTGGTGATGCATAGGTTGAATAAAGCAATCTGTGTGGTCAAACTCACATATAATAGAGCCTGTTACAAACTTTTGGGGATTTTTTGAAATAAAACTACTAGTTAAAACATTCTTAAGATTATTAGCCCCTCTATATACTATACGCGGTTTTTCCCCTATATATGTAAGGAGATCCTCATTTTGTCTCAAGATATGCCAATGTTTCTTAAGAATATCTTGAGACAAAATGAGGATCTCCTTACATATATAGGGGAAAAACCGCGTATATTATATAGAGGGGCTAATAATCTTAAGAATGTTTTAACTAGTAATTTTATTTCAAAAAATCCCCAAAAGAATAGAGATATACAGGGGAAAGATTTGAAAGGGTTTTATAATTGTGGGAACTGCAAAGCATGTAGTACCAGTAGAAAGCTAAATAAGAAAACAGAAAAATTTTATTCTAATAAAACAAAGAAGGAATATAATATAAAGGATTTTATCACATGCAATTCAAATAACGTAATTTACTTATTAACTTGTATATGCGGACTACAATATGTAGGTTGTACGACTAGACCCCTTAAGGTTAGAATTTGTGAACACCTTAGGAATATACAGAATGGGGTTCTCAATCACTCTGTATCTGCACATGTTAATCAAGTTCATGGTGGTGGAATTGACAATTTGCACTTTATGGGGATACAGAGAGTTCAAAAGCCTTGGAGAGGGGGAGACCACTTAAAGATTCTGAATAGAACTGAGATGAAGTGGATTTTTGAGTTGGAAACCCTCTCTCCAAATGGCCTTAATATTGATTTTGAGATGTATAATTATATATAATATATTCCATTTTTTATATATTTTTTATTATATTTATTATTTATGGGTATTTTTATTTATATATTTTTATGTCCCCCTTTCTCTTCTTTCACCCTTCTCTTTTTTTCTATTTTGATGTGGGGACTGTGCTGTGGAGCTCCATATTGTAAGGACTTATTTGGACAATGATTTGATGCAACAGAGAAAGTTAAGAGGCACTTAGGGTGATTCTCCGTTGTGAACCGCATGAAATGAGCGCTGGAACGCATCGGCATTAAGGATGGAACGCAAGCGAACCCGGAAGTGCTCGCGGTGGAACGCATAAATGCGGAAGTAGAAGAATATGACGACGGCACTGTAATGGATCGGATTGGGAGACACAAGAAAGGGAGCTGATTGGTTTGTGGACGCGGGGGGCGGGTTCTAAGTACCCGTTTTTCGTGCCCAATTTTGTTTTAAATTGTGGATGAAATGTTATTATGATATTGCACCTGAGGAAGACGTATTGTAACGTCGAAACGCGTTGTGCTATTTGCTGGATTTCCAGAAATTTATATGTAAGCTTTTACTATTGATTTTAATAAATTGTATTGCTGCTATTCTTCTAATTGGTGTCTGTGCACTTTATATTGAGGATCAAGCTGCAATTTTCGTGAATCCATCTGAGGATATCTTTTTCAAGCGACTATACCTGAGCCAGTTTGTAACAGGCTCTATTATATGTGAGTTGGACCACACAGATTGCTTTATTCAACCTATGCATCACCACAGTGTTATGCTATGATCTTTCCATTTTTTATAGATAAGACACACCCCTTCTGATAACGATTACATTGGGGTACTTATTCATTATTATTTATTCACTTAAGGTGGAAGTTTTCACATATATATGGTTTTTGTGAATATTTTTTATGCGCTGCACACTACTCTGTATAGTTGTGATTTGTCTCGTGTAGGATTTTTGTGATTAAGTCCTATTAGTGTGTTCTAGCAGCTGTTTCAGCGCCACAAACTATACCTTCTGTTTGGGTTTTGTTTTAATAGAGAATAACCCTACACATATTCTAAGTACAACAAATGTAATGAATATGGATCAGATGCATCCACAAATTAAATATAAATATGTACATACGCCTTGCTGGAAAAAGAAAAAAGTAAAGAAATGCTTCAAGCACCATAACCACTACAGTCTGCTGCGTTACAGCACCAGGGTGACTCTCCTACTTCAAGTATTGTCCAACAAGAGGAGCTGATGCTCATGTAGGCGTTCGTTTATTAACGTAGTGTGTCAGCTGAGCTCTCTCAGCCAATCAATGACATCCTGTCTTGAATAGACTTACAGCTGCTGGAAAGACCAAAAACAGTGTAAGCTACCGGCAGGACCCAGGAAAGTGTCAATCTGTGATAAAGTATAGCATAGTTTGTAAAGTCAATGAGAATGACCATATTTTGCCATGAATTGTACAATATGTCTCTTCCCATGACAGATATGAAACTCAGCTTGACCAAAACTTAAATTCTGGTCTTTCCTCCCTCAAGTGTTGCTACTTCTGTGTCTGTCTCTCTCCAGGTCAACGGTGCTACCATCAGCTCCACCACACAGGCTCGCTGCCTAGGTTCTCTTTGACTCCGATCTCTACTTCACGCCTCATGTTCAGTCTATCGCCAAATCCTGCCGCTTACATCTCAAAAACATTGAGTGCATCCGACCCTACTTAACGCCAGATGCGACTAAGGTGCTTGTCCATTCCACTGTCCTTTGTCGCATTGACTACTGTAATCCGCTTCTCAGTGGTCTTACATGCTCCCAACTTGCGCCGTTACAGTCAATAATGAATGCGGTGGCGAGGCTCATCTTCCTTTCCGCCCACGCCTCACCCTTCTGTCAGTCCTTATATTGGCTTCCTGCAACTCAATTTAAAATTCTGGTTCTTGCTTTCAAATCTCTACATAATGCTGCTCTCAACCAATTTATCCTACCTAAAACCTATGTCCCATCTAGGCCCTTACGCTCTGCTGAAGACTTACGTCTATCTTCTGTCCGTACTCCCACCTCTGATGCTCGCCTTCAAGACTTCTCGAGGGGTGCACCGTTCCTATGGAACTCACTTCCCTCCTCCGTTAGATGCTCACCCAGGCTCCACTCCTTCAAAAAATCATTATAAAACCCACTTCTTCATAACAGCGTATTAATTAAATTGTTAAGAGCTCCCGACTGATTACTCTCTTGCAACTGTCATTAGTCTAATACAGCATTTCCCAATTGGGGTTCCGCCAAAAGTTTAAAAACTAAAATGGCCACGGGCGGCAAGGGAGCAGTGAGCAGTGCTCTCCCTCGCGTGCACAGCAGTGATGCTTGTCCAGAATATGATGTCACTCTGGCTCTGACATCACAAAGAGGCTCGCGAGGGAGCTAAGCAGGGAGATCACTGCTCCCTCGTCGCCAGCCACTCAGCAGCCCCACTGGACCCCAGGGACTCCATGCCAGCACTCCTAAAGGTTTTGGGGCTGGGTGGAGTAAAAATGTAAAATAAATAAATACATTGTATGAACTGTTTCTCTGAAACTGCTATGTTTACATCTGAAAGGTTAAAACCTGGGAGACCTGACACCCAGACCACTTCATTGAGCTGAAGTGGTCTGGATGACTATAGTGTCCCTTTAATTGGGAACCCCTAGTCTAATACTATGCTTATTTTTTGTGTCACTTTATCCCACTCCCTCTAGCATGTAAGGTCATTGAGCAGGGCCCTCAACCCCTCTGTTCCTCAACCCCTCTGAGGAACCCCTCTGTTCCTCAACCCCTCTTTTCGACTTGTCTGGTTACAACTACATGTTTGTTCGTCCACCCACTGTAAAGCGCTGCAGAATTTGTTGGCGCTATATAAATAATAACATAATAATAATAAAACAAACAGTTCATCAATTTTAATGCAGCTCTATTGATGGATAGTGCATGCGGTATTTACACTACGTTTATTAGCTTTTTGGGGTTTTTTTTGTGCTGGCTTATGACCACTTTATGCCCTAGCATCACTAAACAGAGTGCGAAGGAGCAATGAAGAATTGGGAGAGCAGAAAGATTACTGGAGCCTCTGGACCCGAGGAGGAAAAAAAAAACTACAAAAAATTTAATTAATTTTAAGTATTTGTGCAAGAATGTGTGAGTGTGCCTGTCAGTGTGTCTGTCAATAGGTGTGTATTTGAAATCAGTGAGATTGTGTGTCTGTCTTTTAGAGTGTGTGTCAGTGAGTGTGTGTGTGTTTCAAATCGGTAAGGTTGTGTGACTGTCATTAAGAGTGTGTGTCAGTGTGTGTGTCTGCCAGTGACTGTTTCAAATCAGTGGGTGAGTGTGTCAGTGAGTGTGTGTATGAGTATGATCTGTGTGTGTTTTAGTGTGTATATGCGGGGCAGTGTATGTGCACTCAGCAATTAAAAGCAAACTGTACATCTAAACACAAGTACACCACTGCTTTCAAATAGCAACAGTACATACAAACATACATATGCATTCACATGCAAACACTATACACAAATACATACACTCAAACAAAACATGTTTAAATTCCTCACCAGTTATTTTTTTTCTATTGTTTTAATTAGTGTTTATAAAAAAAAAAATGTAATGCAGTTTATCAAAAAATACTATAGTCTTTACACGTGTTGAATTAGCCGTACAACCAGAGGGACAGAGTAGATGGGGGCTGCATAGGTACATAGGGGGAGCAAAATGTTGTACTGCTTGAGGCAACTGTAACTCTGGTTATGCCACTAAAGAGGAGCACATTATAAATAGCAAAAATAGTGTTTATTAGCACATGATAAAAATTTTAATTTACAAATAAAAATAAAAAGAACAACACACTTGCAGGTTTATTTGATAAAGTGAATTGTTGGGAATTCAATGAGAGTAAAGTGAATTTCAAATTCTAGATCACTACTGAAATACATATTCATGCTAGCTATATTTTCAGTTGGCTATTTTGGTGTAAATTTTGAAATTTACATATTAGTCAATAACTCTGTATGGGAAATGGAAGTGATTGTATGCACTGACTCTACAACAGTGTAAATGTCTGACACAGTGCAAGCTGTAATGACCCTCTCTACACTGGTTGTAGTTAGTCTCACACTTGAAAAAAAGTATTGTCACCAAAAGTAAAATAAAATTCTTGTGTGACAAATAGCCGACAAATAATGGGCCTCAAGTTGAAAATATGGTTCCAGTTGAAGTCAAGTCTCAGCAGGGGTCAAAACTTCAAAACAATTGCTTCATTAAAAAGTATTCGATTTTAGAATTGATGGGACTTTATCAATACCAACTGTATGCATTTCTGGACCCTATGGGGTATCCACTTTTATTTTATTTTGGATTACCAAACTGTGCAATATGTATATTGCTCAACTTATTTTAAATTATCCAAAGGAGTTCACTGTGTAATGCTGCAAACGGTTTTTCATCCAGGCTTTCTGCTTAGTAATGCTTAATGGCAGCTTGCCAAAAGAGTAGGTCTAGCTATGCGGCTTGTGATGTAATATTTTTTCTGATCAGTTGGCTTGATGATTTGTTAGATTATAATGCTCTACATTTGGCACCTGTAACTGACATATATTTTTATATTTTGATCATTTGCTTAAGCCCCGATCCACACAGAATAAAAAGAGAAGGAACCGTGCTTTTAACAATCGATTTTTTTGGGTTGGCACTATACTGAATTGACAATACAGTCCGTGATTGGCTGTGTGACGTCACGAGTGGGAGGTCTCACCCCTTTAATATACGGAACAGCACAAGTTGCAGCTGAGAACAAATTTAGTTCCCTATTTCCCCTTATAAAAGCATAGATTCAATGCTTTCCTATGGGGAGGCCTAATGCGCACATGGCTTTCGCTGTGCATGCAGATTAGCGCCTGCTCTTTGAGGGACATTGGAGGAGGCGGAGCTGCGACCCAACGCCAAGGGACATCAGCACTGGAATCATGTAAGTAAATAAAAGGTTTTTAATCCCTTATTCACTGTGGCGGGATGGAGGGGGAGTGCGAGGGAGGGGGAATGCGAGGGAGGGGGAATGCGAGGGTGGGGGGAGAGGGAGCTATAGTGCCAGGAATACAGCTTTGTATTCCTGGCACTATAGTATCGCTTTAATTCTTTTTACTCTAGTCATAGTGGTGTTTTGAGGGTTACTATTCGAAGGAGGGCGACTGAGTGGGGATGGTCTGTTTACTTGTGAAGCTATAGACAAGGCACTATAACAAGGAACATAGATATAGATAATATAGACTATATTTAGACAGTCTACTTGTTTCTTGTTCCCTGCTAAGCCTCATGCAACTATTGTACTTTTTCTGTGGACAGTTTGAGATGTAATTCTGTTGACAATTTATCCTACTTTCAAGGTAGATACATGTTAATACTTAAATTGATTCAAAGTTAAATACCTTGTACTTTGTTAATATTATCTTAA